TGTTATTAAGTTATGAAAGTTGAAGAGTTATTATTATTATCATCTAATGATCATCATTGTTATTATTATCATTAAAAAAGCTTTGGGGAAACAATTAAAAGTCATTAATCATAATCAGAATTTAATTTATTATTTGCTGGAATTCATATTTAGATTGTTATATTTTCTCTGTATAAACAGAATCTTCATTCAGGGTAGAAAGTGAAGGAAAAGGTAAGTAACTTCATCAAGAGTTCACCATGACTTGAATTTACATCAATATTCATATATTTTTCTTATACAGGGTGACAATTAATATGTGACTTTTTTGAGTCATATCTTTATTTTTACTTGGCCGATTTTTTTAAGATAAAAAACAAACAGAACGCTTGTAAACACTTCAAAGTTAATGTTTGATGTACTCGAAGTGACCTCCATTCGAGTTTGCACAAAATTCAAGCCTTCTTACAAATGAGAGAAATACCCGATTCCGCATGTTAGTATCGATAGTTTTAACCTCAGATTTGATTGCACTTTCTAAGTCTATTAGTGTCTTTGGTTTATGAGCATAAACTCTATCCTTCAAAAATCCCCATAAAAAGAAGTCACATGGGTTTAAATCAGGGCTGTAAGGTGGCCAGTCTATCCCATTTCCACAGAATTTTTGGTACCCTAGACCGATAACCCTGGAACCAAACATGCTGTAAATAGTTTCAAATACTTCCTGTGTCCTGTGGGAAGTAGCACCATCCTGCATAAACCAGTGGTCTTGGGTCAGTCCATTTCGTCGTAACCATGGGAAAAAGTTGCCTCTTAGTAAATTTTTGTAACTTTCTCCTGTTACATTATTCTGAAAGAAAGTGATGTAAATCTTGTCAGTGCATATCGCTGCCCATGCTGTCAACCTTTGAGGGTGCAATGGCTTTGAATCGAGGGCCTGTGGGTTCTCCTTTCCCCAGTGACGAAAATTTTGTTTATTAACATATCCATCTAAATGAAAATGTGCTTCATCACTGAAAATGATCTTATTCGCTTGTATTACACCAGTTCGACCCATTTCCCCCATCTGAGCACAGAAAGCAACACGTTTGGTCATGGCCTCTTGAGTGAGTGCTTGTCCAATCCAAATCTTGTAAGGATGCCATTTTAAGAACCTTCGTAGGATTAATCTCATTGATTCTCGATTGATGCCGAGCTCCTGTGAGGCATGTCTTATTGATGCATGACAGTGAAATAAGCTTCAATTTGGTCCAAACTCTCTGGAGTGGTCACTTCATTTGGTCTTCCTTCATTGTCTTCCCTTCGGTCGTGAAGCGTTCCATGAGCCAAAAATCTATCTATTACTCTGTTTTAAGTCATAATAAACACAAATGAACACAGAAAAAACCATTGGTTATTAAACATTAGCAAAAAACCGAGACACTGAAAATTGTAAAAATTTCAATCGGATATTATTACCTGCTGATTGTAGACTCAGACATCAAACTTTCATCAGGATATTTGGTCTGTAGTGCCCGTCGAGCGGCAGTCTTAGATTTACCACTTGTGTAATATTTTTCGATCAAGAACACTTTTTGTTCAGTTGTAAGGTCGGCCATTTTGCAATTTTGTTGAACTTAAAATTTGAAAAAAAAACGGTTTGAACAAAACTTTGGAGTGTCTACTTGAAAACTAAAGTGAAAAAAACCGGTCGAAAATTGTCCAAGTAAAAATACACGCATGTGCAAAAAAGTCACATATTAATTGTCACCCTGTATAAAGTTTAGTTCCTGTATTATTATCATTTTTAAAATGATCATCATCAATCTTGACTTGGAATGATGCTCATCATGGTGAAAGAAACTGTTATTTACTGAATCATCCGCAATAATTTACCAACTGAAAACAATATTTCACAAAATAATAATGTTAAAGATGAAAAGATAATAATGATTCTGTTGATGATCATGATAATAATTCAATTTTCATAAATTTCATTTTCGTTTTTTCATTCTCACTCATTTCTTCATCAAATCATCAATGACTTTGTTTTCTCTCTCTCTTTTCTTACCTTATCCATCATCTTCTTTATATCATCATCTTCCATCTTCTCTCTCTCTCTCTCTCTCTCTCTCTCTCTTCACTTGATCTTCAATGATTAGATCAAGTGAAAATAAAAGGGTCATAACAATAATATATTAACATTTACGGTAACATCATTTATCATTATCATCATTAAAGGGATACACTGTATATACTGGATTGGGTGTGGACTCAGGTAAAAGGTATTGAGATAAGGTAACGATGACAGTTTCTCATCTTTCCTTTGGTGATAATTTATCGTTGTCTCACTTTTTGTTACTCTAAATTCAAAATGTTCATTGTCTCTTAATTATATCAACTACTGTTTACATCTAAGCTCAACAGCTGATTGTTTGTAATCCAATTAGTCTCAATCAATCAAATGTTTATCGTCAATAAATAGAATCCCAATAATTACGTTAAAATGTAATAAGGATTTTAAAAGGAAATTGTGAAATAGTTAATTTTGATTAGTTATTGATACTTACCGATTTTAATTGAATGGTAAGGTATAGATAATAAGATATTGGATTATCTTTGATGATTATTAATTGTTTGCAATTAGCAGGAAAAAAAAGATTTAATTGGTTGTCAGTAGATAATTTTGATAATTTATCCAGAGAATATGAAATGAGCTTTAATAATAATCACTAGAGTTGATTATGATTTACACTCACAATCAAGAGATATTATCAATGTTGATTTGCTGTTTTCGATGAAGTTTCACTTGAAAGACACTTTTCTCTTGGGCTGAAGAAACATGATGTAGTAACTGATCATCACCATCACCATGTTGATGATTAATATTGTTGATTGTTGTTGTTACGATTGTTGTAATTGTTGTTACAATATTAACCCAAAAGTTTCATAAGCTACTCGAGTTTCTTGTTGTTATTTGGTTCCTTTGATAAGGTAACTGGGAGGGGAAAACGTATTAATAAAAAAAAGCGAATAAGCAAAAAATAACGAATATCATCAAAGTCGAATTAGAACTGTTAGAACTTCTTTTTCTTTTCTAGATTATTTCTCTATTCGACTCCCACTTTTTTTACCATGGTGATATTGAGTAAATCATCAACTGGGTAAGAAGATGATAAGAGAGAGAGAGAGGAAGATAAATTGTTGCTGATTCGACTCCAAGAAAATATCTTTTTCTCACCAAGACATTAGGTTAACTGTTTTCCATGATAATCGTAATCATAGTTTACCTTTAATTCTGTTCACCAAATGATCAATGAACCTGAAAGAATGAAAATTCAATCATGTTTTAAATTATATTGGATCAGTTTAATCACAATTGCAATTGGAATAGAGATTAAATTTTATTATTATCGATTAGTTTTAATTTCTTAAAGATAATAATCATAATTTCAAAGACTTTTGCGAACTCATGTTTCTCGAAGTTTATTAAACTTTCCACTTTGTTTGAATAAAAAAAGAAAGTTATGAAATTTGTGAGACTTTTATCAATGCCCTGAGGCAACTTCGAAACGTTGATTAACCTGATTAAGCAAATAATTCAATTGAAACTACACAATAAAGTCAATTGTGAATCAAATCAATCGTGATAACAAATAAAAGACTTACAATATCATGTACGAAATGAAACAACGAGATCAATATGAAAACATCACGAAGATACGAACGAAACAATTAACTTATTAATTAACAAGATTCGAGACAATTGAATTAAATTGTAACAATCAATTGATTGAATGATAGTTTCGAGTAATTATAAAATATTCAACAATCAAAAGTACACAATGTAAACAATTTAGACTAATGATTCTGATTTAGTTATTGTTTACCAACAATTAGCAATCAGAAATTATAATTAATTGTAATCAATAGTAAACAACTCAAGTGAGTGTAAAATTAATGATAAACCATCAACAATCAAGATGAATTAATAACATGAGCAAATATAATAAGAAATTAAATCAAGATACAGTTATGATTATGAGGGTGGTATTGAGATGATCAAGAGAGGGGGAAGAGGCAACAATTAAGGCCAATATCATGTTGGTAATAATAATTAAGCTAATTAATGTTTACCCGGAAACAGTAAACATCCATATCTCCGGAATCTTGTGATTGAGTAACATTTTAGATTTACAATTAAATTTAGTTGCTTTTTGTTATTTTGATTTTGTCAATCAACTTTATTATAACAATATGATGATATTATTAGTTAATGATGATGATAATAATGATGAAAACAATCATCTAAATGATAACAATTATAATCAACATCGTTATTTGTACCATGATAATATAATGGGTTAGTGATTGTGATGAGATTAGTTTTCATCTGATGAGAGGCAAGGACACACACGGACACAATTTAGTATTTAATTATTGTCAATTTAATGAGATTAACTTTAAATTACAATTGTTATCACTGTTCAATCAAAATTGGATTAACATCAATTATCAACGGTTCAGGTAAGTCCTTGTTTTCATTCATATTAATAGTAATCATCATGATGATGATCATCATCATGATCTCCAACAATTCAAAGTTAATCAACAACAATAATCAAGTGAAAAAGTTGATTAAAGTTGTCAACAGTTAATGTTGATTGTTGTAGTCGCTCAATAACAACAATAAAAATCAGTGAAAGTTTTTAATTTTACTTTTTTACTTTAAATCACAATTAATTCTTGTAAATTGTGATCCCAATGCTATTCAATTTATCCAGTGAATAGTTAATCAATGTTACTCTATTGACAATCAATCGGTGTTTTAAATCAACATCTAATAATTTGTTAATCATTGGTGTTAATCATTTCCCTTTAACAAGTACTCGATATTTACTTTCATCTTGTACCTTTGGATTATATTTTAATTAACTTTGATTGTTTAAACTTGATTTTTTTTTCTCTCCTGTGATTAACTAATTGTTGTTAAATCTTTACCTTGTCAATGTGTATGTTGATCTTTAATTTATCTCCACCCTGTTTAATTTACGTCTTTGTTTGAATTGTTTTCCAGTCACAATTGATTTGCAAGCGATCAACAATCAATAAATTGCATTCACATTGGCCAAATGATCAAGTTAATTCATATGTATGTATGTGTGTGTGTCTACCTGAGATTGTAATTATCTTTTAAATTATCATAATCATCGGTATTAAATCATTTAGCAAGAAAAAAATACCCAATAAAATGAGATTTTGTATTGTTTGAAAAATGGAAACAATCAACTAATCATCAACAATCAAGGTAGGCCAAGGTGTTGGATGTGCTTTTTATGTGATGGTGAATTAAATTTTAATCACTATTAACCTTGGCAGGACAATTTGTTGATTCCTTACCACTCCTACCAAACAATTTCACTTTTACACCATAACAATCAACACCTTTTGTCTTAATTCAATTGATTACCAACAATCAACCAACTATTAGTTAAATCTCATCTTTAATTCACTTTTTTTTCAATCTCTGTAATTAACTCAAACTAATTTGTGATTTGTTGAACAAACTAAATATATCATCAACCTTTCAATTTGATTATCATCATTGTTGTGTCCATATAAACTTCATTCAAAGTGACCATTAGCTTAATCAAATTGATCAACAATCAAAAACTAAATCATCATGAATTTCATGAATGTAAATCGTTTGACATCATCACCATCATTGTTTTCATCAAATTTAATTGTGATTAAACTGAAACGTTTTCAAAGAGTAAACTGGACAACAACATTGGTCAGTTTTTTGTTTCTTTCATGTTGTGTTAACTTGACCAGTGGTCAATCAAATGACCCACAGGTAACACTCAGTCAAGGTGTTGCCTTGGGCAAAAGGATGTACACACTAACGGGTCGCCCATTTGCTGGATTCTTGGGCATACCCTATGCAAACCCACCGGTGGGTCAACTAAGATTCAAGGTAATTATTTAATGACAAAATGAACAATCAACTCAATCAGATTCTCATACATATAAATCAACAATCAACTGATTGTTTTGACCAAAACAAAAAGCCACCAACTCATCAAACAATTGAATCTATTTATATATACAAATAACTAAATCATAGTATCATTAGGCCAACATGTCATTCATTTTTTCATGGTAATAATTAAAATAAATTGTGATAACAATGAAATGAATAATTTTCAATCATCATCATTATCATTTCCTCATTTAAATAGATATTAGATTTGATTGTTGATTTATATTTTTACTATGTTTTTGTTTTGATGAATATTGGATCAAATTAGATTGTCGTTGATTAAATGTGTACATTTTGTATTCACGAATTGTAATATATGAATGACATTATGATGATAAAAATTTAATTTCTCTCGTGTTGACAATTAAACTTTGTCATCAAAATGAAGTTGAAGATGATGATGACAAAGTAAAATTGAGGACAATTAATAAATTGTGAGAGGGAAAATCAAAACAATCTAAACTAATCAATATTAAACAATCAAAAAAATATTTTCTTCTCATAGTAATAATAATATAAATTGTTGATTATTAATGATGATGATAAATTGTTATATTACTTTGACAGTTTACTGATTGTGATGAAATTTAATTATTCCCTTGACTTACTAATATGAAAACAATTAATTGAAGTTAATTGTTTGAGAGGTCAGTGTATTAGTAAAATTAAGATTGGGCTTAATTTGCCAGAATTAAGGTTAACCTGTAATCAATTTAATGTTAATTGTTGTTGTTCATTGTTAAAGTCAAGGTTTTTTCATTTAGTTTGATTGTTTCAAGTTATTATCGTTAAATTGTATTGATGATTTAAATTTAATTACTGTGAAGATCATAAAACCATTGATTTAAATTATTAATAAATCAAATTGAAATAATCCTAATACAATAATCAAATGATAACCTTAGAGGATTTTGTTTTGTTTTAATTACAGTATTAAATTAATTAAAATTTTCAATACAATTAACATTTGATTCAATCAGAGTAAGTGAATCATTAATTGTACAGACTTAACTGTTAACACAATTTAGGTAAAAATGAATCTTAATTGTTTATATAATCATGAAGGAAGTCACTGATCATGAATTGAAATACATATAAATGTTAAAGTGAGACAGCTAATTAAATCAGTCAATAGTGATTAAGCTAATTATTATCAACGGAACATTAGCTTGTTTGAGTTAATTGTTTGTCTCAACATAATTAGCAAATAGTAAATATTACCCGTAGGTATTGAAATTAAGGCTTAATGATCGAGGAGGTAAAAGGTAGAGATGAAATTGTATTAATGAAAATGAATTCATATTCTCACCCACTCTCACTCCTCCTTCTTCATGGGTTCATATTGAAATGTTTGAGATTTTCATGGTAACTCTGACAATGACGATAAAATGAAAAGTCTATCATATATATGGGACAATATTATGTAAATATTTGATCCTTTCTCCAAGGTGGATAAGGAGGGTGGGGTGGGTGAGTTTCTCTCTCTCTCTCTCTCTCTCTCTCTCTCTCTCTCTCTCTCTATCATGTAGATTTCAATAACAAACTACTTCATCTCAGGTATTCATCCAATATTCATTTTCCTCTTTATTGAAATTCCGAATCTTTCTCCTTGATAATCTGTGATTTATGAGTTGATATTTCATGTAAATACAATAATGATAAATATTTATTGAAATTCAGTTACATGTTGAACGATTTAAATTTTCAAATTTCTTACAAAACATTTTAATCAAAAGCTATTGATTTCTACTTATCGATTGTTATTTATTAGAGTTATCAATTGTTGTATTAGAGATTTAAAATTTAATTGTAAATCAATTGTATTGTATTTGATTTGATTGTTATTAATATCAACAAAGTTTACTATTCTTGGTTAATTGATAAATTATTTATTGTTCAATGGGAGTGAAACTTTAATATTATTACAAGAGTAAATTATTAAACAAGATTTAATCAACTGTGAGAAAAATAATCTCCAATAGATTGTTACTATTAGTTTAATATACTAACAATGTTGATACATAAATTGTCTGTTGCTGAAGTTGATTAAAGGTAATTACACTAATTATTATAACAATTAGATGACATCCTAAGAGTTGATTGTTACAACCAAAACCCTTGGTTCAAGTGTTTGCCAGTTAAATTGTTACAATCCAATTGAATTGGAGTTTCTATCTTGAAGATAATTGTTCTTGAAAATAATGATAATGAGATGATGTTGATTAAAGTATCAAGAAAGTTATTAAATCCATTGAATCGAAGTGTTTAGATTGATAGAGATGAAGTTTTATCATGTTATCCAGTTTGAGAAAACCAGGGAATGTTTAATTTCAGAATCAGAATCTTGAAACATGAAAGAAAGAAAATTTTTCGAATAGATTAAATTGAGTGTATGTACAGGATAAAGTTCATTTGAATAAAAAAACACTCCTCATTTTATCATGAGAATCATTATCATGTTGATCTTTTTCAGGATCTGGAAAGATGAGGATGAAGATGCAAAAGAAGATGAGAAGGGAAATTATTTGGAAAGGTTGAGAGAAGAGACAAAATAAAAAAGTGAGAAAAGGAAAATGAATCGAAATTTAAACCAAGATAATAAGAAAATGACCATAACGATGACCAGTGGTGGTGAGAATCCATTTTCAGAGGGAAAAGTTGAAAAGGGAAAGTGAACAGTTGAAAGTACAGTTATTTTATGCTCTACCAAGCAAACTTGATGCACTACATCAGTTACGGTAACAAACACAATCAGTTACCTTTACAACCAACGTAGTAAATTGTTATTATTTTTATTATCTTTGTTTAGATGATCATTGATAAAAAAATTTCCCCATAAACTTGGGTTCATCTTTGGTGGTGATAATGAATGACCAGTGGGTGGATATTATGTTTTCCCATTGAAAATAAAGTAAGAAAATTGTCAATATATAAAAAAACAAGATTCTTTGGATGATGTAAGGACAAAAAGTAATACATGAACTGAGTTGTTGATCCGATGATAATAATGATACCATGATGATGATGAACATGATTAACTGATATGATCGGTGAGCTTAGGATGAAATAATCATGATGATTATTGTGACAGAGGGATCTCAGGTTTTATCATGATGAGGGTGATGATGATGATGATGATGGTTTTGCTTGAGCTTCAGGTATCAGCATTTGGACGTGATCAATTATTTGTAATAATAATAATGTTAAGACTTTGATAGATAACATGAGTTGTTGTTATTTTCCCTCCCTCTCTCTCTCTCTCTGACCTACTTATTCATTACATTTTCAATATATGTAAACGATATTAGAAAATATATCTTCCTCTATCATGATTATATTGCTTAGAAATGAAATTATCTTTGATGTTTCCAAGTTAAATTATATATTTTTCTTTCCAGAGAATAGAAATTTTCTTCTCAGTCTATTCTCAATTTCTATTGAAAAATTTTCCAAACAACAACTTATACCTCTTCCATATACATGTAGATATTTCATTTCAATCTTTATACAGGGCATTTCACTGAGTTTCCAACAAGTTTTTCTTAAATAGCTTTTTGTTTATGAGTGTTCAGACCTCAGACTCGAGTTGTGTTAGTTTGGGAGATACTCAATTGTCATATTACAATATCAAGGTCATTCCGGTCATTCTGTTAGGATTTCTAAGGCATTTGATGGTCAGAATAACTCGATTGTTGGAAACTTGGTTGAATACCCTGTATATTATGAATTCGAATGTTTTATTTTTCTCAATTTCTACCCCATCATGAATATATATAAAGATAATCAAAGAATATGAAAAGATGATGATGTTTATCATGAGCTTTCGGTCTATTGAATTTTGTTTGTTTTTTGTTATTTATCTTGGAACTTTCGGTTTACCATAATAGCCTTTAAAATGATTGCTCCATCTAAGGTTTCATCGCACGTAAAAATTGAATTTCCAGGTATATGCATGATGAATTAAATATCTTCCTTTTGCTCAATTCAGTCGCTATTCAGTCTTTATCTCCAACTCTCTTCAAGTGTAACTTTTTATATCCATAGAATGTTGTATGTTTCCGGTTTTCTTTTGAAATACTTGTGTATTTTTTTTTCTCGCCACAAAGAAAAATTCATTCGAACAAAAAAAAACTATGATTATCATGGAAATGATGAAGAAAATTAGATATTATTACAACTTGAACTAGTTTTTCTATTCTCTCATCTTTGCACCATGTAACATGCTTTTCATGCTGTTTCATGATAATCATATGATATTCTGCCTGATGTACTTGGTTTCCAGAATTTACTTGATGCTCAATGACTTGAATTAGATTCTTTCTCCACCTAGAAAATGAAAGTATAATCATGTAATAAGATCCATTGATGTTGGTTTGGTGAAAGACAAGAATGAATAGAGAACAACAAAAAAAAGATTCAGAATTTGAAAGCAGATATATTTCAATGTTCATTTTCATGGAGTTACATTGTTTGCAGAATAGTTTTGATACCAGGATTTAGACGAATGATAATTTATGGATATAATTCATCGAAAAGGTTATTCACTGACTCATGGAAAACAATGGAAAAACTTCATTATGTTTTCCTGGGGGAGAAGAAGAAAAAAGGTAAAAATCAGCGATTCCATGAGATTTTCTCTCTCATCTGAGTTGCATGGAAATCTCTGGGAAAATCTCATTTTTTACTCTTTCATTTGAACTGCTTGAGCAGAAAAATATTCTATGAGAATGAAATAAGATGTTGATAATGATTCTCTTCATGAATTCACTGTATTCATGGAGATTTTTTCTCTCTCCATTTCCAATGAATTTCCTCCATGAATGTTTTTCTTTTATACTGACGGAAAATTATCATTACCACGATCATCAATGTAAACACTGATTCGAAAAGAAAATCTCCTTACTTCGAGCTTTGTACATTCCCCTAATTGTTTGTCACAATTAATGAATATAATTCAATCCAATCAACGTGTCAATCTTTTTTTCTCACCAACGAAACAATCAAAAGACCTGAACCAAAGTTTCGAAGTAACAAAAAGTACATTTAATCAAAGTGTCAATCAACATGAACGAATGTAAATTCTGTGAGTTTGTGAGTATTTTTTTTCTGATCCTCCAACAGAATTGAAATAATCCATCAAATCTCCTTCATAAGCCAAGATTTCATTCAATGTGGATTATGTTGATTACTTGTGTCCACCAAGATGAGAAGAAAAAAATTACCATGATATCAATAGGAGGAGGGAAAAATATTACCCTGAAAATGTGAGGGAGGAAAAAAAATTGTCCCATGAAAATAATGAACTGTTAAGATTTGATAGATTTTCACTTTGTCAATCAAATTGATGACGATGACCAATTGATATTATTAGATGACCATGAACATAATAAAATTGTGAATAACTTGATCAAACTGTTTCCTCTTCATCATATTATTATTTCATCTCACCTTCTTCCTCCTCTATCCGAAGGGTCAATTGACCAATTGATTACTTTTTGTTCATTGGATTGTGAGTGTAATATTAAAGTAGCAATAAATATACTTAATATATTATAATCTTGTTCAGAATTTACTTCTCCATGAAATAATGTTTACGAATTTAAAGTCAACTCCAAATTGCCTGAGGAAAATTCAGGGTAAACTTGAATCTTTTACCTTGTTCTTGGTAAATACAATTTACCTGTAAGGGAAAGAGAATATGAAAAAAGGCTGATAGAAAAAAATATAAGAGAATAGAATAAGAATGATGAATATAAAATTCTGTTCGAATTCTCGAAACTTTAGTTAATCGCAAGTATTTTTCTTTCGCAAACTTTTTCCATCACCAAAAAGGAGATCCTTTTTTTCATGGTGGTTACTTTTTTTCTCTTCCCTTTGTACTTCTCATCTCAATAGACTTTTCCATCGACAATATGATTATCATCTTCTCTCATCTTATGGAGAAAATTTCAACTCTAATAGGAAGAAGAAAGAAGAGAGAGAGGAAAAAAATTCGAATAAGACAAGATAGTTACCGAACATGTTGACATGAGAGAGAATAATGGATCTAATCTGGTGTGAAATTTAATTCTCAACTCATTCCGAGTGATGAAGGAATCACATTTTCTATGGTGTAAAAAAGACACCAAGTTGATAGTTTTTTATATCCATCATATTGAACTTGCTTGATAGAGAATCAGAAGTGATAAAATTTCAATAAAGTTATTCAAAACTCAAAGAATTGATTCAAATCAAATGTTCGGTAAAGGAAAAAAGTTCGAATATCATAACATATTATTAATACGAATATTTTTTATTAATTATTACATGAATTTATTTGAGAAAAAGTTCTAGGAAATTAATACCCAGGTAATTAGAGAGACAGATCGTGAGATTAACAGTAAACGGATCCTAATGAGTCCATGTAATTATTACAATGATTTAAATTATCACAGAGAAATGTTAATGAATTACCTTGGAAATTTGTTTTTTCTCAGTCAACAAATTACTTGATTTTTCCTCTGATTTAATAAGTACAAGGAAAACTTAATTCTTGCCGTTAGCGATTTGATTATTTACCATCATTATATTTAATCCTTTTCATATGAATGAGGATGATGAAGATAATGATGATGATTACGGTGATGATGAAAATTGATCCTTCTATCACCATTACAATGTAATTGGATCAGGGTGTTGACTATTTACCATTTGATCATTAGTGATCATGGTAAACCAAACAGTTTACTTGTCAACTTAGACAATTAATTATTCTGATTAATGATTATTATCATTAGTATAACAATTTTCATGAATTTATCATGGATATTTTTTTAAAAAATTTCTCTTTTCTTTTGATTCTGTTAACAATTAAAGAAACCAATTCCTTATGGTGGTTGGCGGGGTAACGGTAATTTCCAACAGTATCGACCAGGATGTCCTCAGTACGATTCCAGGGGGTCACTTTATGGTCAGGAAGATTGTCTCTACCTTAATGTTTACGTTCCCATGGTTGATGTAAGTACTCTGAAAGAAATTCATTTATTTTAATTTATTCACATGAAGACCTTAAAATGATCTTCAGGAAATAACCTTGAAAATCGTTTGAGGATCGAGCGCTTTAATCATGTTCAGTTCTCTGGTCAAGTTTGACCTTCATATGAAATGTTCCTGAGATATTCAACCAAATAGCCGTAGTGGATTAAAACGTATGAAAGTTATTCAATGTAAATATTACTCTCGGTGGTTATTGTGATCATCTAATCATCATTTCGTTATAACTGTAACATCAATTTAACAAAGAAATCATTGTCATTAGAAATAAGAATCATCTACGATTAACATGATGATTTGGAATTTACAATTGAAACATTTTCTTTCTTTCTTGATTTTTTTCCTTCTTTTCTTTTTCATGATAACTCAGAATCATCTATTTGGAGAGAAAAAAAGATCAATTGAATGATGAATAGTTTGAGTTTCTATCCAATATATTGTTCAGTGATAGATAATATTGGTGATCAAGGTGGAGAATATGAAATAACATAAACCCACTTCATCTTCCACTCCCCACCATCAATCTGGTCTTATTATTATTCCCTCCACTTACAAATACCAGAATCTTTTTATTATTAATACAATGTTAGTTTTTATCCATCAATTGATCGTGTTGATGTTTTTAGTGTAAGAAAATTGTTCAGAATTTACCAGAAGCTGAAAACTTTCGTGGTGATTTAACTACCTCACAGGTAAGTTTTTCGAGATTGTTGAGTCTCAATTAGAGAGAATGAGTTAATTGCATGACACATCAAGAGCTAATTTAGTTACACGAATTAAAAGGCGAAATTTTCCCATTGAAATGTCGTGTTTCTGTTGCAAATGTTCAGAACTTTTGATTTTGGAAAAAAGTTCGACAGTTATTTCAACATTTATCTAATCACTTGTCAATAATCAAATTCCATGAGATTATATTTAGAATTTATATTAAACAGTTAACAACTTTTCTCTTGAGTTTCCATGATGCAAATTACGATTTAATTCTGTTCACTAATAATTTGTATTTCTATAAATTTAATCAATTTCTTACCTTCACCTGTTAATATTTATTACTTTTCCAATTCCAGAACTTTATCCTCACAACTTTCTGAAATATTATCGAGCTGATGAATACCTTTCGATATTGACATTTCAGCGAGACCTTTATATTAACTTGAATATTTATTCCAACTTTGAAGATTTAATTTCAGGTTTTGAAGGGAAAAGTGTTCCCATCAATGCGATGATTGTTTATCGGAATAAATATTCAAATGATTAAATTTAGGGTGAAAATGAAATCAAGATTTCAACAACTCAATAAGTAAGCAAAGTGATAGCTGATAAATAAGATGCAATTTTATCCTGGAATTTATCTGGAAACAGGTGGAAAAGATTCTGTAGCATTGATTTTGTCTCCGTTAAACATAATCATGTATCTCCAATGTGAGTCTATTGATTGAGGGAAAAATTCAATATCAGTTGAAAGAAACGGATAAAATTTTGATGTAAAGTTGATGATCATTTGATAACATGTTCATGGTAAATTCAGTGTTTTGTGAATGAAGTATAAGTTGATTATGATGAAAATCCATCATGAAATACCAAGAAGTTGATTTAGGTTAAAGATTAACTCACTGGTGATTTTCTTTTGTTTCTCTTGTGGAGTAAACGTTAACCAAGAATAGAACAATAAAGTTGATGATGATGATGATGATGAGAGAAAGAAAAATATTCCAATAATCATCAACTTCTTTCATTCTCTTTCATCTTTGTTACTCCATCTTCTCTTTTCTATTTTCTCATTTTAACCCGATCACTTGAACTGTGTGGAGATAATTCATCGGAGATTCATTGACTTAGATAATAAAATCCACCAAGAAATACATGAAATTCTGAGTTACAGGTTGAGTTTTTGGTTCTACAGGGCATTTCAGCAAGTTTCCAACAAGTTTTCCTTGATTAACCTTTTTGTTATCGAGTGTTCAGACCCGAGATCCGAGTTATAGTAGTTTGGGCTAGTTGTCATTAAAATACCAAGGTCATTCCGGTCATTCTGTTAGGATACGGTTTCAAGGTCATTTGATGGTCACAATTAAATTAACTTGCCATTAGTTACAAAGAAATAACTTTTTTGATTCGGAATCCTTTTCATTCAATTTTTCTTAATTTATTTGTGCTACGGGTACATGTTTGTTTTTAAATTTGACTCTATTGTGACCATTGTGACCGGAATGACCTTGATATTTTAAAATGACAATTGAGGATCACTCAAACTATCATAACTCGATGCTGGGGTCAGAACATTCAAAAACAAAAAGTTATTCAAGAAAAACTTGTTGGAAACTTGCTGAAATGCCCTGTACAAAGGATGAGAAAAAAAGAAGTTGAGTAAAGTTCATGTAATACAAATAGTTGAACAAGAGATTTCTTGATAATGATTATGTCCAGTTAATCCTTAGCATGGTTACTTGATTTACCAATGAAGTAACTGTGATTACTTTTGATTGCCTTTGGAAAATAACGGTCATTATCATCATCATCATTGCTGGACAAAGAAGAGCAGAATATGAGTAGGAAGAGAGAGAGAGATGATATAAAATAGAATGAGGATGAATGAGGATAAGAAGACAGGGAAATGATGAGAAAGAAAATCTCAACATGTACATAACATGAAGATATCAGGGTGGAAATCAAATGCCTCAGGGTGAAAGGATTCAATCTTTGATTGTATAGAATGACAGTAACAAGGAAATAATATTGTATTCATATGATATTTTTGGCTGGTGATTCTCGAGGTGGGAAAGTGTAACTACATCTTCTCGGTGGATTTTTTAACCTCCCACTCTCATCATTTACCTTTTGTATTATCATTATAAGAGGAATCAAGATGATTGCTTAAGGGTTACAATGAAATGAAGGTTAATTAAAAGGAACCTTTTAATAAATACAACTAATTCTAGTATTTACTTATTCATGGTTAATTGTAGTTTCTGTTTGAATTGCATTAGATTAATACTATCATTTGTCAGATTGATTAACCTTTTAAATTGAACCTTTGATTTAATTGTGAATCAATTGTAAAAACTTTTTATCCTCTTTGAATATTATATTCACTTGACACTTTTATCTCAGTCGAAACAGTTAATGGTTAACAATTAAGAGTAACATCAATTACCTGTAAATAAAAGACAGAGAAAAGACAAAGGTTAACATGTCAACTTAAATCAATGATAACATTTACAATTTAGTTGTGATTAAATTAATACAAGTTGTTGGTTTAATATGGTTTCAAATAGAGTGAAAAATAATCAGAGTAAGACTGAGAATTAATTTCGCTAATTAAATGGTAAATCTTTTTAATTAGTTGGTTACTTGACTATTAAAACCATTGGAATAATTTCTAATCACTTGAGTTAATTTCAATCCGATCTTCAATTGTCCATTTAAATGATGGTTCCTCTTAAATTGATGATCATAATAAAGACAATAATCTTGTTCCAGTGAATACAATTAGATTTTAATTACCATCAAGTATTCATTATCTATTCTCAGATTTCCATGATCAGATTTCCTGCAATACAAATTAAAGGGAAAGAAAATAAGAAAACAGTTAACAATTAATCACTTAAAGATTATGAATTAATGAATAAACAGTCAATTAGATTTGATTGATTAATGAAACAACTTGGACAAATGAGAAAAGTTCAGTGAAGATTAACCATGTGAATAAACAAACATTAGATTCTTATGTTACTACTAAATACCTTTAATCATTTGAGTTAATTATTCATCAAATTATCTTTTTCCTTGTAATCCTAGAGACGGACTCAAAGTGGCCTTTTACCTGTGATGGTTTATATCCATGGTGAAAGCTTTGAAAATGGCGATGGGTCAATCTATGGACCTGAAAAATTGATGGAGAAACAAGTGATTGTAATTACTTTTAATTACAGACTTGGAATTTTAGGTTTGTAATTAAAGTTTAACGGCTTAAATATATCATCCCTAAGGGCTAATATATCTTGAGATGTAATTTCGTTATCATGAAAACTAATATTTACCATGAAAATTGAGCCCTTTTCGAGACTGATCATGTTTCTAATTATTAATTAGGAAACATTTATCTTTGTTTCCACATTTTCAACCTTATTCATTCATGGTTGAGTTCAAGAGAGTTTGATTTTGGCTTCCTAGTAGATCCTTTAAACATATAATCCTCTTGATGATAATCAAATTGGTCCTTTGAATATTAACCGTTATTTTCATCTTTTACCTTCATTGATTTTGATTTACTACAATCAAGTTTTTCAAGTCTTTTGTCAGAGATTAATTTTACTAACATTTGGTGGATTAACATAATAATTAATATCCTGATTGTAATTTAAACTGTTTTCATCCATAATATTAATAACTTTGTCCTTGATTGTTATCACCTCAATGCATCGATTTCCTTTAATATTTAAATTGTCTCTCAGGTTTTCTTAGCACTGAAGATGAAATTGCAACGGGAAATTGGGGCCTTTATGATCAAAAACTTGTCCTCGATTGGATTCAACTCAACATAAGATCTTTCGGAGGTGACCCAGGTCGAGTTACTATTTTCGGGCAAGGTTCGGGAGCAGCATGTGTATTTTTCCATCTAATGTCTCGTCTTAGTCAAGGTAAACACAATTAACTCAATGGAAGATCAATAAAAAAGATATTCAATTGTCTTCTTTATATCTCTCAATAAATCAGCTAACAACTTTCCTTTCACCAAGACTTATTCAGTATTCTTATAATCTAAGTTATATCTTTCGATTTGATTGAATTCTCTCATCAGGTACTTTCCATCGAGCAATTATGCAAAGTGGCTCTGGTTTGTGTCATTGGGCTTTAGAGAGACATCCCCTTGAGTATGCGAAAGAGATTGCAGATAATATCGGTTGTCCTACAGCAACATCGTTGACACTTGTTGATTGCCTTCGATCTGTTCCAGTTGACAAAATTTTAAAAGCCCAAACAAGAGGAAAGGTAAGAGAAAGTAGATAAAAAAGATTGATTGGTTTAAACGAATATCGATGAATCTTTTTTAAAAATCTACTGAATTGTGTCAATTTTTTGTTTCATCGAATTCTCTTTTTTCCAATTACTTATCTGTTTATCATTTTTGCTTTTTTTTCATTCTCTAATCTTATGGATTTACCTTGGAATCTTCTTTCGTTTCGACTGTTTATTATATGGAAAATAATCTTTTAGATATTCGGTGAATTTCCTCAGAGAGCAGCTCCAACAATTGAACGATTTGGACAAGATCGTTTCCTTGATCAAGATCCAAGAACATTGCTAAACAATTATCCCTACAATAAGATTCCCGTGATGATTGGATTAAATAAGGATGAAACATCTTTCTTTTATCCATGTAAGTGTTGATTTATCTAAAGGAAGGTGTAAGAAAACAAGTTAAATAATAGTAATATTAATGATCAATTTTACCTGGAAGCTAAAGATTATTACCATTATCACCAATTTAATTATTTCTGGACTGATGGTTTAATGTACCAAATCATATTCACATAATCTAATAACATTTCAATCTCACTAATCTTCATCTTTTCTATCTTATTTCTCTCTCTCTCTCTCTCTCTCTCTCTCTCTCTACCTGAAAAAAATATTGATTGATAAATTGTAGTAATAGTTTCACACTTTCGTTCCAATTATGGTGAAGATCGGGAAAGAAAATTGATTGGCAGGTTTCTCGAGGCAGCAACTCCATTTAAAGATTCTCGAAAAGATCGACTTATATTTCCAGTATTAAGCCAATATTTTGATTACATTGACACTAATAATGTATCACAATTTACTTCTGCCTTTGTCAACGTAAGTAACGATTATAAGTGACACATTGAATCTTCTTCTTCTTCTTCTTTGTATTTAAAATTTTTCCTAAGCCACAAAACGATGACCAACATTTGTCCATCATTTTGAAGAAGAAAAAAAATTCCCATCGTTTATATAACCTAATCCTCTCCATTAGCTATTGATGTCCACACATGAAGATGATCCAAGTTGAAATTGAGTAAAATCTTTGTGTCACTCTCACAATCAGAAGAAATCAGGGTAACCTTGAAAAAAAAAGATAGAGAATTGAGAATAAAAAAAAAAGGTGAAAATGAATGATGAGGAAGAAATTGTCTCATTACTTTTTTCCATCTCCATCTTCTTATCCATGGATATTGTATAAGATTCACCGAGTTATTAAGCTGTCATGATAGATGATGATTCTTAATCATTGCTCAATTTTTTTCCGCTGGTTCCTTGTCAAGGCCAATTGATCGTTGATTAGGCTCTTACTAGCTTGTTATTTCGTTGATCATATTATATATACTCAGTGACAATGGTAAGATAATGATGAAGATAATTGTATCAAAGATGAAGGCCCAATAATGATAAAAAAATGGATTAGGAAACAAAAGTTTACACATCCAAATACATTCAACTGAGTCTCTTGATAATCTACCATGTTTTTAGAAACATGGTGAGTTTATCAGTTACCAAACACTAGTAGGGAATAGAAATAAATAACATGGAAATAAAGATTATCAAGGTGAAGAAAAAAAATAGATAAACGATAAAAGAATTTTGAATTCTAAAGAGAATAGACAGAGGAAAAGACAGAGAAAAATGAATTTTTCTTTCGTTGTTTTGTCTTTTGGAGGGAATTGAAAGTTTAGGATGAGGAGTTTAACTGATTGTAACATGAAACCTTCTATTCACTCAATTGATTTAATTGTTACAAGTGATCAACTGACAAACTGGTTAACTGTTTATTGGCGACAATTTATGTTTAATTTGTGTGTGAATTTAATTGATGTCATTTTTTGTTCGCTTCCTTTCAACAATTAGTTGTTTTGTCTGTTCTTAATTAAGAGTCTGAATCTTTGTTTATTTGGATCATTTTCTCAGATATTTTCTTTGTTAATTTGATGATCAATAATTGATTTGTTTCCTTTAACTTGTGATCTTGTTTTGGTGATGATGATGATGACAATATGTTGGATCAAAGAGAAGGTAGAAAAAAACTGATTATCGATGAATAAATTGAGAAGGTGGAGATTTATAAATGTATTAACCACTTATTATATGAAAAAAGAAGAGGATTGGATTAAGGTGTTGGTCGAATTAGCAAATTTGTCCAACCATTAACAACATCAAATATTAAGTGTAACAATTGAAACAACAACAACAATGGCAACAATAACCAGAGGAAATGTTATATCTCCTCTCTGTCTTCCCAAGTGCTCTTCAGATGATTGATTTCCGTTCATGTTTTGGATTCTTTTGTAGGCCAAATGAAGCTATCATATCATAACAAATGGTTGATTCTGTTTCTCATGATGATCATCATCATTATTATCATTGTTTGGGTGAAATAAGAGAGGTAAAAAAAGCAATAGAGAGAGAGAGAGAGATAATGTTGAAAGTGAGGATAATACTTTTGTTGATGTTAGTGTATCACAATTTTTTTCGAGTATTTTCAAGTTTATCAATTAATTTCATGGTGTTGGATGGAAAGGTCATCATTATCGTTTTCATCTCCTTCATCCTTTTTCTGGTTAAAAAAAACAGTTTAATGTGTTGAAGTTGAATCAACCAACAATCAATGGAACCATTTTCATCTTCCCATAGCAACAATCAAGTGATGAGAGTGATTTTTTTCTGGTTAAAATGAATTTAGATTGATGATAAAAACTTGAATGGAATTGTATTTATTTCCAATGTTTTCCTTAATTGGCAATTCTTGCAAATCACTAATCCTTTTTTTCCTCTTTGATTGTGAGATTAATTAATTGTTTTCTTTATCCTTCTAGATGTCAACCGATGCCTTATACTCAAGTTGCATTGACGAAACGGCCAAATCACTTTGGGGAGCTGCAAGTAAACAATTTAACTATTCTCATTATTTTGATTACTTTTTCCAAATTATTTTCACTTTAAATTGAATAATCACGATTGACAATCACAATAATTGTCAATTATTGTAATCAACCGATATTCTGATCTCTTTTTTTACCTTCGTTTTTCTGTTTGTCTGATTGACTTTTTTTCTTCTTCTCTACTTGTTGTTTCAATTGTTTTTCTTTCTTTTCTATTCTTACCATTTCTCCATTTCTTCATTTCTAATTCGTTCTTTTTTCTCTCCTTCTTTTGATTGTTCTCCCTTCTCTTCCAACAGTTCCTGTTTATGTTTACCTGTTTGATTATAAAGGAGAAAACAGCATGATTAAAATACTACTCAATAATTCACCAACAGTGATTGATACCGGTGTTTGTCATGGAGATGAATTGTTTTACCTTTTCAATCTTGAAATGGATAAAACGAAAACACCAAGTTTTCAAGATACACGAACCTCCCAACGATTAATTACTCTTTGGACTGATTTTGCTACTTACGGGTAATTATATTGAAAAGAAAATTAATTCCACCAACAATCAAAGGGAAAAGTTAATCAGTTAATCCAAAATTCAGCAAATGTTTACATTAGAATGTCAATAGAGGGAGCGACTATTTCGTCGATTTGGTTTAACAGGTTGATCGTTTTTGTATTTGATGGAATAACTTTTTCCATCAATATTTTGTAATTGTGTTGATTTAAAGATGATTAATGGTGATGGTATTAAAACCATCTCTATTTCACTAGTCTACTATGGGTTGTTATTCAGTTTAATCTTCATTATTTTTCATCTTTCAATGATTAACAATCAAGATAATTCATCAACATCTTCAACAAATATTATCAACATCCATCTGAATCTTTACCAGTTCATTTTGGTTGGAAATGTTCAATTTCATCTCATTTCTCATCATCGAAAATTTCAAACTCATTATGATGATGATCGAATGAGAATCATCATCATCACCATCACAACTATCATTGAATCTTACGGAATTCATTCCATTAAGATAAACTGATGATGATGATGATGAGTGAAGAAAGAAGCAAAAAAGGATAGATTTTGCTCTTCCTGATGAGAAATAAGATGATACCATGGATGATGAAGATGATAATGATGATGCACACAGAAAATGAAAGTCTCATTGCTTCAATTATGATTTCCTCTATCAAGGAATTCAGTTTCACTCCCAGTTTCTTTACCTTGACTAACTCAACTTCTCATCATGAAAACTATCAAGAAATATTCTCCTTTTTTCCTGCTCATCTTTTACTCATGAATCGATTGACTTTCTGTCTCCATCATCATTATCATCACAATCAATATTATCATCAAAAATATCATTCAAGGAGGAGAGAGAGAGAGAGAAATATTTTCTGTGGTTTCTCCCTAAGTTGGATACAAAATAACTCATGATATAAGTTGGAAATCAATAGAATTGAGAAAATTTTAACCTTAATATTGTTCATTTACCTTTTAATTGTCAACAATTAACTCCATTTGCTATAAATTTACCACAAGGAAACTAATTGTAAAATCTCAACTCTTTGTTTTCAGATCAAATTGATTTGATTGATTGATTATCCTCATAGGCAATTAATGTTTAATTGTGTTGTTTAAATTTTGTTTAATAATCTGATCAATCAACGTTTGATTATACAATTTGTATTTTATAATCAAACAGTTAATTTAATTTGATCTAATAATAAATTGTCAAGGAAATTGATAATTAATTTGAAACTCAACTGATTATGGTGATTTTCAATTATCATTGATAAATTAATTAACTCTAGTTTTTGATAATTGTGCGATCAATTCATTATGTAAAAACACTTAGAAATCAATAGTTAGATAATAACTATTACAAAACAACAAAGTTTAATTAGTTAATTGGAAAACTTTCAACTTGATTCTGATTAATTAAATTTATTCCTTTTAAATACTAACAGGTATTCACCGAAACTGGAAACCTATGATTATCCTCGATGGGAAAAATTTGACCCAATCAAGTTGAACTTTTATCGTATTGGTTCAACACTCCGACCTGATTATATTTTCCGTCAGGAGCAGGCCTACTTTTGGTCAATCGGTTTGCACAATTTGTCCACAAACGGAGCGCTCTCATTGCCAATTACACGGGTCAATCCATCCGAAGTGTCTTACAAAACACTGGCCTGGTCAATGGTCGCTCTTTCGGCCACACTCTTGATCTTAATTTTGCTTCTTCTTCTCGTCCTTTACATTCAACGACGACGACAAACCTTTGAAACCAATTCCATAGACGCAAACGGAAGCCACATATCAGCTCGATCGTCCAACTTTTAATAAATGAACTTCATTTTTTTTTATACTAATCATTTGTATTTAGATTAATCATTAGATGCATTTAAAATTTGAAATGATTAAGATGATGAATTCATCATTAGATTTAATCACAATTGAAAAGGAAAGAATAAGATTAAAAGTGGAAAAAGAAAGTGAAATTAAAATGTAATGAAAAACGTTAATTTAATATATTGAAAGTGAAAACAACAACAATCAACTGTTAATATCAGGAAAGCCTGAAGCTCACTCATCGATTGTTGAACAACAATTTAAATTGAGGTCCTCGAACTGAATCAAGCTCAATGTCCTCTAAAGTTAATGTACCACTTACATTATCCAACTATTACCTTCCATTTTATCAACAAGTCTCCCACTTTCACTCACTTTTTTCTTCTCAATTTCAATTAGTTCTGAAAACTGAATTAAGAGAGAGAGAGAGAGAGAGAGAGAGAGAGAGAGAGAGAGAGAGTAATCATCCAGTCGAACAAAAAAAGAGAAAGAAACTGTTAATCAACCTGCTAACCTGATCAAACAATTTACTAACAATATGATCGAGTTAATGATTAACTTGGTAACACTTTTGTCTTCTCATTTAATTTGTTAACAATAATCTCTTAACGTAATTAAATCAACCACCAGACTTAAAATGATTATCATCATTGACGATATTCGAGTTTCGAATTGATTTTATTGATTATCGACGAAGACTGAAAACATTTCTAGAGTTAATCAAATCTCTCAATGATTAATAATAATTTACAAGCTCCATTGACAATCCTGATTGTTTTTCCGCTTTAAACTGGAAAATTGTGAGTTAATTTGATTAGCAAAAAAGAATTGATATCAATTAAAGTGTTGATTATGCTAAATCACAAATCTTGAATAAATCAATGATTTTGTTTTCTTATTCTTTGATCATTCTAAATTGTCGATAGTGGTTATTAATTAGGATAATCGAGGTAAATAGAGACAGGAAACTTACAATTGACTAATGACAATTAGAATTAAGTTAGCAAGTGAAATCAACGCAAATTTGTCTCAATTATCAACTATTTCAATGAATTACAACCACAATTAACTTTGATTTAAACAGAAATCACAATCAACATCATGGCTAAAATAATCACTATGTTAATGATTAGCTGATTACATTAAATCAGTAGTTATAATTAGTTATGTAACAGGAAATGTCAACAATGATTTGAACACAATTAAGCTTTTCAACTATTCACAAAAAAACAACGGAAAAAACATCAAATCAAAATTTAGATCAATAGATTGATAGTTGATCAAATTATCAACATGATTTGTTCATCTTTTTTTACCCTGAAGCTTAATTACTCTGACAATTAATGTCAATGATCGAGTGTCAGTTAAATGCATAGACTAATGATTTAGAATCGTTTCATTCCCAACGAACCATTTTCATGAAACTCTCCTTCATATTATCATGAAAAGGGAAAAAATTTGAAAACAATTGAGAAAATTTACCTTCTATTACAATTGTAATTATCGCAATTAATTTGATTATTTTTTCTCGTTTTTCATGTAATTTCAGTCAATTTCTGTAACTGAAAAGTTCTGGAAGAAAATGACTCAACAATCGGCTGAGAAATTAATTGTAACAATACATGTAGATAAACCTTTAATTTGTATACTACACTCGGTAATTATCATGAATTTTATTGACAATTAAATTAACTCAGTTAATAATTTGTTAATAATCAGTAATTACACCTTTCGAGCTCGTGATCTATCAAAAGTGACTTTTAAATGTTTCCAATTTCCAGAGATGGGAAAGTTAATTGTTACCAACCAAGTTTTCAATTTTTCCATTTCATCATCATAATCATAACATATTGATTGTCCTTTCCAGGATTTTAATTACTAATTAATGGTGAACGGTTTTTGCTTATGATGATCTAAATAGTGAGAAAATTTAAGTTAAGGTTAAATTGTGAGGAGCGAAAGTTAATTACTGCTGAGGATTCTTGTTGATTAAATACACCAATTGAAGTTCAATTAAATAAATATTAGTATGAATGTTGTGTTGATACTAAAGGGAAAGAAAAAGATGATGATTAGTTGATTGTGATTGATGAGACTCAGCAAGTGAAAAGGTAATCATGTTGCTAATTGTTATGGTCACAAGTTGAACTTGAAATGATTAAGTGATGACTGACAGATTGTATATAAATACTTAATAACAATTATTACAACTGATTGTTGGTAACATTAAATTAGTAAAATCTATTGTGGTCAAAGTCAATCAAGTTCAAAGAATCAAAATTAATGATAATATAATGATGATTATCATATGAAAATTGTCTGAATGTTAAAGGTTGTTGATTGTCGCTTGATTTTAGACGAAAATAAAAAGGTTGCGGTGACAATTAACGCTAACTAATATCACGATTTTTGGACTAATTAATCAGGTTGGAAAATAATAAACAATAAATTTATAAATATGTGTTTTTTTTGCTTCTTATTTTTCGTGCTACTGTGAAATCGGTTTGATTGTAAACTTGGAATTGGAGGAAAAAAAGGTTTGATAGACCGGTTCGCCTTCAGGAAAAAAACGCAATAACACCAACGAAAGAGACAATTTATATGATGTACAAGTGAAAAGGAGGTGGTGGTGGGGAGAAGGAGGAGATATAATGAGGAGGGAGAATGAGGAAGATAGAAATGGGAGAGAGAGAGAGAGAAATGAAGTTGAAAGTTGGTGAGTTTTGTAAATTAAGTCGAGAATTGGAATCGTTAGTTTACTCACCGTTGATTGTGAGGAATGGATGAGAGTTGTTGAAACAAAGAAAAAGAAATTTTCTTGTTCCTAATTCGAACTTTAAATTGTTCAAATTGTTAATTACTAATTTTCGATTCGAAAAAGTGTAAAGAGAATACAGTGTAGTTGTTTTTTTCTCTTTGATTGTTTTTGGTGTTTTGGTTTCTCTCTTTTCTTCTTGTTCATCTGTTAGCATTTTATCTTGAAAAATGTCCACATCTCAATCGAGGCCGATTTGGTTTATTTTCCCAGGTTTGGAGGCTTATGATCCAACACCACCGATCTCCGTTTTGACCTTTCCACCTTTCGTTAAATTGTGCGACTCGTTGAACGAGAAAACTGGTTTCAATCTTCTCGAAACAATAGTCAATGAGGGATCATCGCCATCTCTTGCAACCGTTTTCGCCACAATTACCACTCTTCAAACGTCACTGATTCACCTTCTCGCCTCCTTGGGAATCACACCCGATGGTTTCATTGGCTATGGAATCGGTGAGTTCGCAGCATCTTATATGGATGGTTGTTATGACGCGGAAACGGTCATCTTTTTATCTCATACAATTGGACGAAAAATTGACGATTCAGGTTATCGTCGTGGAGCCATGGCCTTGGTCCATCAAGATGAGTCCAAATTTTCCTCGTTCTTCTCAAATTCTGGGGTCACCGTCTCCGCTCATAACACGGAAAATTGTATAACAATCGCTGGGTCACAAAAAAACATCGATCAAGTTTTGGAAAAACTGAAAATGGACAAAATCAAATGTTCACCAATCGCTAGTTATTCAACGGCTCTTCATTGTTCCCAAATGGATTATCTTAAAGACACTGCAATGGAATCTCTTTATCGGCTAATCGACTCACCTAAACCTCGATCGCACCGATGGGTTAGTACCACAGTCGCAGCGACGGAAGATTGTCTTCGTCTCTCTTGTCCAAGATATTTCCTTCGTAATTTAACCTCACCGGTTTTGTTTCGTGAAGCCTGTTCTGAACTTCCAGCCAATGCAATAATAATCGAGGTTAATTATCGCTCCATCTTGGAATCATTTGTTAAATCTAATCTTAAATCACCAGAGACAATCATCTATCTAACTATCCCTTGTCTCAATAACATGGATACAACCAAATCACAAGATTATCAACTATTCAACACAAACATAATAAACAACAACAACAATAATGTTTCCACGGGAATGTCCACCGATAAATTGGTTGATTACCTGCTGAAGGAGAGACAAAACACCGGAGTTTACGAGGTCAGATGAACAAACAATCAACCTGGAAACAGAATGAATGAAAAATCCAATTAAACTGTTAGAATCAAGTTTCTTTCGTTTCGTTAACTAATGTTGTTTATCATTAAATTTCCATTTTCTTCCTTGTGTGTCAACTTGACTCTTCGCCAAAAGGACAACTCTCTTTCTCTTTCTCTCTCTCTCACTTTCTCTTTTTCGGTCAAACAATTAAACTATATTATTATTGAAAACAAAAATTGTCATTTGTCACTTATTCTCGCAATTAATTAATCACTTACACTATTTAGTCACAAGAGAAAACATTAATTGTTAAGTAAACAACAATTCTCATCCCGCTCAACCAACAGAGAGAATGAATAAACTAACGCCATCTATGGAAATCGACAGGTGGTTGATTAGAATAAATTTTCAATCATTTTAAATTGTTGAGAGAAACAATCAACATAATTTTTCTAATTGTTCACCGATTGATTTGTTTTTTTTATTGTTTTCTTTTTTTTAAATTGTTACATGAGTTTGTTCAATTAACCAATTGAATAAATTGTAAATCATGGATCAAAGTAAGTAATCATTCCCTCCGACATTCAGAGTAATTGTGGTTGAGCTTTTTAAATTTTCTAATTAAAGAATATAGTCAATGGAATTAGATTAAATTAATTGTTTTCTTTTTTTTGTATTATCAAGGTGAATTGTGCAGTGATGAGGATCAATCAACTTCCAGTGAGATTGAATCGGAAGTTAATGAATCCTGTTCGGATCTTAGTCAAGAAATTGATACCAACATAATTAGTGAATTAAATCAGCCTGATGATACATTGGACTCAGAAAGTGATGATATTTATGAGTCATTATTAAGATCACCAGAACCATTAGAATCACCAGAGCCATTAGAAGAACCGGAGACCGATGAAAATGATCCTATCTCTGTATTAGAAGCCTTTTTAAAGGCTCACGATGAAGGTAATGAATCAAAAGAAAAGTTGGAAAATCCGGTCAAGGAAAATTCTGATCAACAATCGGCGGGAATTCCGATGGAAACAGGTAGTTGTAGCTTCAATAATGGAATCAGTAGGTTACAAAGAGAAAGAATCAATTCCACAGGCTCTAAACGGAGTCTTCGTCCAAGATCGAAAATATATTGGAACGAATCATCTCTTTTCTACCTGAAAACTCAGGCGAATATGTATTCTTACTACTCTGGACTACGAAAAAAACGAATATGATTTTTGCTTGTTTGTTGATTCATTGGAATAAATTTATTCCTAACATTATCATTCCACGTGTTGTACAGTTATTTGTTATATTTATATGTTTTTGATAGTAGACACATTTAAAGAAAGAAAGGGAGAGCGAGAGAGAGAGAGAGAGAGAGACAAAAAGAATATAACTTACATAGATTTTCATGACAATAATATAATTGATTTAGAAAAATATTCGAGAGAGAAACACAAAAGGATCAGGGAGTAATAATTAATTACATTTTGTTTCATCGGATTTTGCAGTATCTAAAATACTGTCGGAGAAATGAACTCTACGATTAACGTTTCCATCATCGGGTTCGGCTTCATTAGATTGAGTCGACAATTCCAATGCGGATGAAAAATAGGTTGGTGCTTTTTTGAGTATTCCTTTGCAACAGATGAATGATGTTGTAATTAGATTACTTTGCTTGGTTATTATGATGATTGACTGTCGAATAACTTGTTCAAGATCATTGAGAAGTGTCACTGATTCGGATGTATTTTCACCTTCAGTTTCACTTTCTGATGAAAATGGCAGAGAACTTTGAATACCACTTAGATTTGTCTTAATACTATCCAAAATTTTATCCATCAAAGGTAATTCTGTGATACTTCCTGGTTCCTCGATTATTTTGGTAATATTTTGAGTGTAATCAATGATCAATGAATAAAGCAGGTTAAGGTATTGGTAATTTTCCGAATGCCATAAAAATTGTATCTCATACATTTTGGTCATGGTATTTTCTCCATTGTGAAATTCATGCCACATTTTAAATTTTCTCATCACTTGTTGTAATTCATCCAAAAGTTCAATCGATGTTTCCAGAAGAGATCGAATAGATTCTGTTTTATTGTTGACGAAAGCTTGGTGGGCCATAGATGAAACATTCATTTGAGATTTAGATATTTGGTCGATAAGAGTGTGAAGAGTGACAGAGAATTGAGTTGAACTTCCTTTGGCAAGATTATCTTGAACATCTTCGACCAGAATAGCCCAAATTGATTCTTCCAAAGAAGCGTTAATTTCAAGTAATCTTTTACCAGTTAGGAAGACAAGTTTCTCAAGCGACTTTTGGGCAACTCTTTTAGACTTTAATCCTGATCCTTGGAGTGAATTAACTGCTTCCTCACAAGATTTGAATAATTTGGATAAAGTTTCTTCATAAATAGTCGCTGATTCTGTTGGACATGCGATCAACCAACAACGAGAGAGTTCACGAAGATTACTAAGACTGAGAAATAGTTCAATCATAGATTTAACCTCAGGTTGTCGAGAGCTTAATGAGTCCAGCCCACGATAAATGTTATCACAAAATTGAACAATACGTGATCCGAGTGAACATTTAACTTCGTATAATTTGTCTCTTTTGGTTTGAGCTGCAGTTAAAGTTTTCCATGATTCACAAAGATATTTAACAAGAGTAGACTCGGTCAACTCTTCGTTAGTTTTTTCCTCAGGTGGTTCCTCTTCTAAAGACATCAATTGTCCACAAAATGTCATCTCATCAAAAGATTCCTCTTTAACACCATTCATAAATTGATCGATTGGTACATTGTCGAATAGTTTACCCAAATCATTAAGAAGATTCGATCTTTTAATTCGAAAAGTCGGTGTGACAATTTCTCTCTTGGGCATCTTAGGTGTGGGAACCATGAGAAGAGAATTCTCTTTATTGGCTGTTTCATTGATAAGAGGTTTAGCTCCTGAAAGTTGAGGAACCTCAATAACACGGATAACATTATCTTCTTTGACACTTTCAGCTAATTTTATTTCTTTAGTGGTTGAACTTTTGATTCCATCAATCTGATCATTAACAGGTGGTAAGCTAATATTGACTGGAGTTAATTTAATAGGTGTCAGACATTTGTTCACAGAAAGGGGACTTGTTTTACGACGACCTGAGCTTTTAACAGGGGTTGGCCGGAAAGAATCTAAAAATTAAAGAAAAGTTTAAAAAGAATAAAAATTGTAAGCATTAATTTTAAAAGAAAACAAGAGACAGAAAAAAAAGTACAAAGGATAAGAAAAACAAAGTTGCAAACTAACAGCATGCAGAGATTGGAAAGACAAAGGATTCTATGAGGAAGGGTAAACAATTTGTTCAATTAATTTTAAAGATGACTCAGGATTAATTACAATCAACAGGAACAGGGGAAAGGGATTGTCTTTACAAACCATGTCGTGCAGGGGTAACATCACCAGAAACATCAACGGGAGTGGGAATACATTTAAGATGATACTGACTTGAGGTTCTCCTTACATTGGGCGATGACAAGTCTCCAAGAAAAGAAGTTGATTTCCTTTTCTCACTCATTATTAAAAGAACAAAAAAACCGATAAACAAAAAAGATTAAAGATGATCCACTTATCAACCAGGTAAGTCAACAATTAATTTACTCAATTAGTTTAATTGTTTTTAGATGATACAAATTAAGATCAACAATATTAGAGATTTAATGTAATCAGTAAAACAAAAATATCCAAAATTTAACCGCCTTTTCCCTTGACGACCAACCGAATGAAATTTTGTTTCCTCGATTCTGATTGGCTGATTTTCTTCGAAACGAGCGACATCTACCGATTCTTTTCGTAACCAAACTAACGAAGTTAATTATTCGCCATTGTTACGATTACTAATCAAGTTCATTTGCGAAAATTGGTTAACCAAATGTCAATTGTTTTCTTTTTTTGCAATTTTCTTATTAATTAACTTTTGATTGGATTTGATTTTTTTTCTTGTTCATTTTTTGTTGCAGCTTTTCAACATGTTCTTCAACGCTCTCGTTCTTACTAAAAAGGGCCACTTGGGAAAATTTGGTTAGCTGCTCATTATCGTAAAAAATTGTCCAAAAAAGATATAATCAAAGTAAATGTCTCGGAATCGGTTGAGGCGATTCTTCAATCTAGGATATTATTATCTCTTCGAACTTCTTCTCATCTTCTTTATGGTATTAGTTTTCTTTTAAATAAGCAAGTTAGTTACCTGTTGGTAGATGCATTGGAATATGCCTACTGTGTCCCGCAATTTATTACCGCTCAAGGAATTGATATGGAAGAACAATTAGAGAATATCAATGATGTTAATATATCAATTGATGATCATTTGGAATTTAATTTGACTCAGGAAAATGTTGATGCTCCTGATCTTAGGTCGGCAAATTTGGGACAATTATTGTTACAAGGTGAAGCCGCTGAGATTCTCTGTGATGAATTTGCTGAGTTTGATGTTCTGAGAAATGATTCTAGAGAATCAGTTCATGTTGAAGAAATTCTTTTTGATGATCATGTATTTCTTGACGATGGGTTTGGTGGACGATTGGATCAAGATCCTACTACAATTTTCGACCTTCCTGGTGTTAGACCAACTGGTAACTCAACAGTCGATGTATCAGGTAAGATCTTTGATTTCTATTCTTATATTCCCTTTGTTCTTTTCCAATTTATATTTATTCTAATAATTTTATTCTGACTTTAAGATGGACCTCCTGAAGAAGTGCCATTGATTGATATTTTTGATCAACCAGCTCAACATAATCCGGAAAATGATGAAGTAGTTGATAACATGGATCATATTCCCCCTCCAGATAATGTTGACCACCTTATGGGATCACCGAGACTTAATCCTCTTGGTGCAGTTCCATCAATGGAAGAGCTTCGACAACCAAGTGCGGCAGAAATATCTGGAAATGTTGGTCGTGAAGAAGAGCTGATTTTGGAGCCACTTGATGAATCATATCGTCGCCCAAAAAGAAGAAAAGTTTGTAGATTAATCATCGACGAAGTTAATGAGATCGCATCGGACATCATCAAAGCAAATATTCGTGATGCTCAGCAACCTGAAATTGAATTGGCACCAGTAACAAGGAGGTTGATGATTGCTAAGAAAACATTAAGAGCTTCTGTCTTACTCAAGGCTCCAGAAAAATGTTTCTCATCGATTCAAAAAAAGGTAAAATTTGTTTATTTTCATGCTCTGAAAATCGATCAACTCATTTTTTCAACTTAAATTTACTCTTTCAGTTGTACCAATCACATCTCAAAGTTATCACTGAAATAGTTGATCGAGATGACGAATCTACTATAATTGATGACGTTAATTTCAACGTAGGAAGATCTCAAGATATTCCTGATGTAATAAACAACAATTTCGACGATGATTTACTAATGGAAGACATTCCACCACCACCGGTGCCAGATGAAGAGCCAATAATTGCCCCAGTTGTAGAAGAAGAGGAAGTTATTCCAGTTCGAAGTCAACTACAACCAGATGATCCTGAGGTTCGACCTTCTCAAGAAAGAGCTGGAAGTCAACGACGTAGAAAAAGACGAAGATTATCACAAGAACAAGCTCGAAGAGGAACTGTCTTCGAACCAGAGGTTTTACATCGTGATTCAGACATAGAATTTGAAAGAACTCAAATGAACGATCCAATTCCAGAAGATGATTTTCTTTTTGCAAGTCAAACTCCATCAGAGTTTCAACCAACCCCTGATGATGGTTTACTTTCTCAATTATCCCAAACATTATCCGAACCCGTTACATTTTCACAATTAACTCAAGATTATAATAGGAAAAAAGTGAGTCTATTTTGTTTCAAAATGTCTATTATTCTAATTTTAACTTTATGATCAATAATAATGTGACTCTTCATTAATTTCTAATTATTAGGCTGCATCAACATTTTTCCAACTTCTTGCTCTACACAAACAACGAGTAATTATCCTCGAGCAACATAAATTTTATGAAGAAATTCACGTATCCAAAGGACCAAATTTCCGAGGAGCTTACGTTTATTAATCAATTCGAGTTGGAAATAATCAACCTCTACATTAAAAACTCTAATCGTGTCCATCAAATGTTCACAATTCAAACTACTCAAAGTCCTACAATTCATCTGATAATTGTCATCAACTTCATTAGACAGATAGTTCAGTCAATTCATTAATCAATTTCACTAATATTTATTTATCATTTTTCAACTCCCTCGTCAAGTTAATGTATCTAAATATATTTTCACTAAGGATCAAATATTTATTCAAATTTTTAAGCTATTCGAATAGCTCAAAAGTGATACAAATTCATTATTTACATGTAATTCCATGTAAAATTACCCGTCAATCGATAAACTTTCATAATTATTGCAGAAAAAAACTTTTGTTACTTTGTAAAATTATCAAACCATTAATTTCAAGTTAAAGTCATTAGAACAAAATTTTGTCAAATTTATTTTTACAAGTTTACTTATTAAAAGAATTTAAAATGAGAGAGAAATTGAAATTAATTGTAATCATTAAAACGATTGGGACTTAGATTAATTACTAGACACTTGTTAATTTACGATTATTTGGTTTTGGACGAATTCAGGTGATAATCTTGTCGAGTCGGAAAATCTTTCCCGTTTCCTGGTAATTTAGATGGAATAAGAGGAGAAATTAAAACAATTTTCCAATTGGAGCCAAATGATTGTTCACAATTCAATTTCCAACAGCCGAGATCATAGATTTGGATCGATTTAGCTCGTTCATGGACAGTTTGTCCGACGATCATAGTTGAACAATGATAGAATATGAGTCCAGTGGTAAATAGACAAGCGGCGATGTTGATGATTGAGATTAGACAGCAAATTGTCGAATACCAATGAAGTCGACCGAAGAGCCAAAAAAGAAAAGGGAAAGTGTGAGAGAGAAAATTGTAAAGTGTGAAACCACCGAGAAGATCCCAGATGAAGAACATGTTCAATGTTGTACAATAAAAAGATCCAATTGCGATGTGAAACAATAATGAGATGAAATATCGAAAATTGTTGAAGCCAATACACGATTTTGCAAAGGAACAGTGGTGATCTTGTTTAAGAATACAAACATCACAAGAGGGACAATGATACGATCTCGGTGGTGTGTAAGTTTCGCATGTCCAACAGTAGCGTTGATTGTTGACTGATGAAGAACTGTTATTGTTTGATATTAACAGTTGACCTCGAATTGTACTTTGGTGGCGAATAATTTGAATAAAATTACCCATTATATTGTGTAAGATGTAGAGACCAATTGTATTGTGAACTATTGGAGAGATTGAATTTGCATCTTTTGAGTAGATTTTGGGGACAACAATTAGCACCTCGAATAAAAATGAACCAATTACGGCGACAAAGAAAAATATGAAAGCCAATCCATCCCAATTCTGATGTTTTACCTTAATTGGAATCGCTTGAGGCGATGAAAAAGATAATTGTCTACCAGAGTGTTCATGTTTTCGTGATTGTCTTTTGATCTTCATCTAGTGAGTAAAATTCCGCACCAATAGCGACCTTTAAATGTATCAAGTCCACCGAGAAATTAGTCCAATTGATCAATCATTCAGAAGAGAAAATTATAAATATGATTCACAATCTGAAAAAAAATGAAAGAAAAATTTGAAAATCAATAAGCTATTGGGTGGATTTCTTAAAGTTTCAAGTCAATATTTTCTTAACCATGGGTACATTATTGAGAAATTAGAGTCTCTCCCCAATCATATCAATTAATTATACAGAAAATCAAGAATCTTCTCAATGAACAATAAACAATAACAAATGGAAATCTTTTCATATGTAGTGTCATAGTTACCGAAAAAAAGGTTAAGCAGAAACAACAGAGAACAACAAAGACAGAGAAAGAGAGATTAAGAAGACGATGAGTATATTTTAAGAAAGCGAATTATTGATTGTGATGATAAAATGGTTCGAATCAGGTTAATATTTAAACAGAACACAATTAAATTAACTGTCAAAATGATTACGCGGTTAACAGGAATTCAATTTATTCTGAAGAGAGAAAACGATGAGTCCAATTTCTGACACCAGATGGAAGCTCATTTAGAATATTGGATCGCTAAGGAAACGGAAGTGAAGTTTTGGTTGTTGGTTCTTGTGAATGAGATTGAGAATTTCAGTTCAATTGTTTTAATTTTGTTTGTGTCTTTGATTAAATTTCAATTTAATTTAATTAATTTATCAACATGGAAGAAGATTCAGCAGCCGCCGATTTAAAGAAGAAACGTCAGTTCCGAAAATATTCATACCGAGGAGTTGATTTAGATCAACTTTTAGATATGGACATGTAAGTATTAAGTGAAAATTTTCTATTCTCTTTACACGTTTTCTGGTCCATTTTATTTTAATTTTTTTAATATTTGGTTCTAATTGTGTTTTTCTTTACTTTCTTGGTTTTCCGTCAATTTTTTCTCTTTTAGGGCTGATCTTAAGGAACTTTTCCATTCTAGAGCTAAAAGGAGATTGAATCGAGGTCTCAAAAGGAAACAAATGGCTCTCCTGAAGAAACTAAGGAAAGCTAAGAAAAATTGTGGTGAATTAGAAAAACCAGAGACAGTCAAGACTCATCTTCGTGACATGCTTATTTTACCTGAGATGGTTGGATGTGTTGTAGGAATTTACAATGGTAAAACATTCAATCAAGTTGAAATTAAGGTGAGTTTTGCTGTATTAAAGTCTTCCTGTTCAGCTTATTGTATGGGCTTACATGATACGTTTTTGTGTAACCCATTCAATATATTTTTATGATGAAAAACTTTCGGATCCATTCGCGGTTTCCTCCAGAAGTTAACTCTAATGACGGTCTTATTTTCTGATTTTAATCAACATCGTCAAGTTAATCCTTATCTCTATACATTTTTATTAATTTTGACTTTCTTTTTCTTTCTCTCTTCTATTTACAGTCAGAAATGATTGGACATTATCTTGGAGAGTTTTCAATTACATACAAGCCTGTTAAACACGGTAGACCCGGTATTGGTGCTACTCACTCTTCAAGATTTATTCCTCTTAAATAGAGAAAATTGTTCAAAAAAATAAATTTTCAATTCAACTTTCTATGAATTAATTATCTTTTTGACTAATCCAAATATTTCTCGTGAAGATATTGTTAACTTACATGGAAAGTACGTTGTGTGTATTGAATATATCTTCACAATGATGAGTGAATTGGCTTTAAATAAATTAACCAATTCCAACAATTATCAATATTTTTTAAAAATTGTATCTCAACAAAACAAAACAAATTGTCAAGTTGACCAAACAATCAATCGGCAGATTGTTAGACTAACACGAGATTAAAAGATAGTTCAAAATCTTCCCATCGATGGAACAAACCATTTAAACATTTGACCATCAATTGTCTCCAATAAACGGCAATTAACTCCAATCTTTGCAATGGTTACGAAAACAATTAAGAATTAATTTCCAATTTAACCTTCATCTGTTTCCAGGTGAGAAAGTGCCATCTATCTGTAGACTATATTGACAATCTCATTTGTGTTATGAATTGAGAGTTTCAACCGTTGGTGTTTTCATATTTAACTAAATTGTTGTCGATTTAATTTCTTCCCAGTTAATTTTCTTTCCTAATCTAGTGTTTCATAATTGCATCAATTGCATATTCTCATCTTGGTTCGTAACCAACTCTACAATTTGAATAGTCATTTGTTTACCTGTGATGATTGAGTTTTAGACTCTCTCAAGGAAAAAAGCCTTTTGTGTATTTATTTTTCTCTCTCTCTCTCATCTGTTGTTGAGATTTAGATGTTTAATTTATTAATTACTACAATCATCTAATCATCGACATCATTTACCTTTAATTGTTTTCTTCATCTCAATTGCTATTCTACTCTCTTTCTCTCTGTAAACAATTTAAAGTGTTGGATCAATTGTTTGAGAGATTAAAAAGTGTTTGTGGCTTTTTATCATTTTCTTTGCGTTGATCATCTTTACCTGTACACCTTTAATTAATTGATTGTAAATTGATTATCACCATGAGCTGGGATATTAATATTGTTGGTGCTAATCTTAATCGTCAAATTCAAGATAAATTGAGTTTAAAGTTCCAAAGACAATTTCATGTGACCCATTCACTTATCAAAAGGCTTGGATTAATTCATAAATTTGAGGTTGATTGTCTTTCGCAATTCAAATTATCTGAATTTTGATTCAATGAGATGGTGATAAATTAGTGAACCTCTTTGATTATGATGTGATTTAGTTAAAATAAGTGATAAAAGCCCAATTTTATATTAAAAATGACCACAAAATGATTGAAGTGTTTCGGTCATCATTTGACAATTGTTAGTCATTTGTGATTGTACTTGAATAATAAATTGCGTTTTCTAGTTAATTCTAAGCCTTGATTGGACAATTAAGCTAATTGAGGTTAATCAGCTTTTCTCTTTGAAAGAAAATCAATCTTTCCTTAATCACCTAAAAAACCTCATTCTTTCATCTTCAGATTGTCCAATGATTTTCGCAATTATATTGATCTTTTTTCTAATTAACAAGAAATTTTAATCTTCATCCTTCCAGGGTCATAAAGGTTGTGTCAATTGTCTCGAGTGGAATGAATCAGGAGAGTGAGTATTTTAATCCAACAATCAATAGATTGTATCATCAATTACCTTTTTATTGTTTCCTTTTGTTGACATTTTTTTCTTAATTTTCTCCAGGATTTTAGCCAGTGGATCAGATGATTGTAACATTATCCTTTGGAATCCCTATACAAAGAAATCAATTCAAACGATTGCAAGTGGACACACGGGGAACATTTTCTCAGTCAAATATATCAAAACATCATCGGAAAACTGTATCGCCAGTGGTGCAGCCGATCACAAGATTCGTGTTCATGATGTGTCGGTTTCCGAGTGTACATTTGATTGTAGTTGCCACACCAATCGAGTTAAAAGATTGGCGACCCTTCCCTCTGAACCGTACGTGTTTCTATCCGCTGCAGAGGATGGATTAGTTTTACGATTTGATCTTCGAGAGAAACACATTTGCTCCCAAACATGTAACAACGTTCTAGTTAATTTAACCAATCACATTGGAAGCAGTGCCGAAGCTAAATGTATAGCAATTAACCCATTGCAACCCGAGTTGATTGCAATCGGTGCCAATGATCCGTACGTCCGTCTTTATGACCGGAGGATGATCTCGTTAACACAATCAAGGGTAAACCAACTCAGCAATCAATTTCTCTCCATCACTTGATTAAATCAATTTATTTCTTTTCTTTTCTCCAGCGTTCAGCTACATCCTTTAACTTGATCATGTCCAATCTTGGTGGTAATTCGTCTCAAGATAATGACGAATCTTCTTGTGCTTCGTCATCTACATCCAATGTCCCTCTTGATAGTGCCCAATATTTCATCGCTGGTCACCTGAGGAACAAACGTAAATCTCGACCTGTCGCTTGTTCATATTTATCTTTTAATTCCAGAGGAAATGAACTTCTAGCTAACCTTAACTGTGAACAAATTTACCTTTTTGATATCAAAAAACTGACACCTTTACATACCTTTCATCTTCCAACCACAATACCATCACCCCCAATACTCACATCGATGAAACCTGAGGCTTCTAGTAATGGTCATCAAAAAGGAACCACCGATGGAAACAAAAACAATCCCTTAAAAAATGGTCACCGTTTAATGTCCAAGAGTAGAAATTATCTTAATGTGTACGGAGTTAAACAATTACTTCCAGCGAAGGTGCAAGCGCTGAAAGAGCAGGCGAATGAACATTTCGACAAAAGTGATTATATAAACGCTGTTTCCCTTTACAATGATGCGATTGTAAAGTGTCCCAATGCCGCTGTTCTGTATGGTAATCGTGCGATTGCTTTGATGAAACGATCTTGGGACGGTGATGTTTATGCTGCACTTCGAGATTGTAATATCGCTCTTGGCCTGGATAAAGAGTATTTCCGTGCTCACTTTCGTATGGCTCGTTGTTTATGGGAGCTGGAACGGTTCAAAGAAGCTTCGGATTGTTTCGAGAAATTTAAATTAACATTCCCTGACCAGGCTAAAGATCAATCATGTATCGAACTGGAGAGACAAATTTACGATAATCTTGAAACCACAAAAGAAAAAGAAGAAGCTACAACCGAATCTACGAGAGATGATTGTTTATGTGCCTCAGGAATCGATGAAGTTGTTAACTCGGCAATGGAATCATCATCTTCATCCTCATCAGCACCTCGAAGTTTTTTCACAAGAAAACCCATTTTCAGTGAATTCGAGATTACCTGGAGATTTAAAGCCTGTGATTTTAAGCAAAGATTCTGTGGTCATTGTAACACAACGACGGACATCAAAGAGGCAAATTTTTTCGGAAGGTTCGTAATAATCGTTTTTGAAAGCAAAATAAATTTAAATTATTTCATTTGATTTTCTCATCATCTTATAGAGACGATCAGTTCATCATCGCTGGTTCTGATGATGGTAACATGTTCATTTGGGATCGTTCAACAAGCAATATCGTTCGTGTACTAAAAGGAGACTATGCAATCGTTAATTGTTTACAACCCCATCCATATGATTGTTTACTCGCCTCCAGCGGAATTGACCCACTTGTTAGATTGTGGGCTCCCAAACCCGAGGTGAGTGAATGTCAATCGAAAGATTTACATTTCTTTGCTTCCATTGTGATCTAAATTATTTAGCTGATTCTTTTAATTGCTCTTTATTGCGAAATCAAGGCAACAATTTAAATGAGCGAAAAATTTTCTGATTAACTGCAAATTAACTGTTGTAAAATGTCACTATTAATAATGGACTTTAATCGTTAAACTAATCAGTTAGTTCATTAAGTTAATAACTCGAATTCAACTGATCACCATTCTCATCAATGGCCACCCTTTTATTTACATACAGGTCAAGAAACAGTCCAATTTAATTCTTGTATCATTTAGTTTATTTCGCTTTCTCTTTATTACTATTATCATCCCAGCAATTTACTTAATTGATCAATCATTAACTGAAACTTAGCTCGGATCATTTATCTGCTTTTACCCTTCAACAGCAACAAAATGTAATATAATTTTCACTTGTTTGACAATAGTTACAATTTAGTGACAATCAAATGAATAGCAGAAAAAGCTAATAATAAAGCATTCGCGTTAAGACAAAAACATCGCTACGATTGATCGCACTTGACCTCACCATTATCATTATCCTTTTATAACCTTCCCTTAATCAAGAGCCACCCATTTAGCGATAATATAATACGTACCTTTAATTATCCGAACATTATTCACCTGAATAATATGATTACAGTGTTATTTCAATGTACTAATGATCAATGTTTCTTTTATTTGTTTCATTTTCATGGCAATTAAATCACTCACACACACCAATTATCATGATGATTAATCCAGGATGGACCTGATTCAAAGGAGGCCAGTGAAGTGGAGGACATTAACGAAGTGGCCAATGCCAATCAAAAGCTCATGTATGAAAATCCGATTGAATTGGCTTTGCTTAATATGAGTTATCGATATGGACCCGATCTGGATAGTTCTCAACATGCTGAAGAGTTTGTTCAGTGTAGAGCCCAGTAAAAGTTGATTAACTAATTTAACTACAAGGAGAAAACAAAAGACTCATAACAAAAAGCATTCAATTGATTTTCTGTCAAATATTATTACATAGATACTACATTTATATATCACATTCGCTCTCCCTCCTTATCATCATCTCATCATCATTTTTTTTTTGTTAATTTTCACCAAAATGATTAGGATTAATCCTTTTCACAGTCTCTCTCATCCTAATCCTCCTAATCCATCCACATACACGAACCAATTCATTTTTATCATAACCATAAATCATCCTCATTTTAGCTTTAAACAATTTAATTTTGTCAGAAATTGAGATTACCTTGGATTTGAGATTAACAATCAAGAAACAATTCAGAAGACTGTTAATTGTTTAAAGTGATATAAATATATATAAATGATCAGAGGGATATAATTGTTGAATTTTTTTTCCTAAGACTGAACAAGATTAGGGTTAATGGTATTAACACCTTCATCTACAATTTAACCTGAAGCAATTAATTTTGCTCATTAAATGACCATGATGATGACTGAATAAAACAAAAATGATATAAAAAAATTTTCTCCTCACTAATTGCAAATTAAAAACTAATTGTTTCCTAATCTCTTTAATTTAGAAAATCTTTGCGACATTGTTACCTGGAGTGGTTACTATTAATGTGATTATTTAATCAATGAATCAACTGATGATTACTTACGGTATTTGGTTAATTTTTCTTGTTAATTCACAAATTTAGTTTTAATAGTTGACCAACCACACAACCCAATGTAGAGATGACAATTTAGTCGCACAATTAGTACCTAAGAATTAATTAGTTAATAAGATGATAGCGTATCTTTTTTGTTGCGTTTTCGTTTTTTGCTTAAATATTTACAATTTTTATTCTTACAATTAAAACTATTGAATGGTGGAAACAAAGTACGTAAATAGAAAAGGTAAACAATAATATCGACAATTACGGTGACAATTATTTACCAAGCGATTAATTCAGCTTAGTTAACTACTAATTGCTCGTGTGAAAGACATTGATTGGAAAAATTGAAAGGATTGAAACATTATTAATAGTATAACATCAATCCAGAGTAGAAAAGTAAATGGATGAGTAATAATCAAGTTAAATTGGATCAAAAAAGATGAATTAAAAAGGAGAATGGAGAATGATTGAAAAAAGTGATTTAGATTTAGTCTAAATTGGTTTTTGGTTTAGAGCAAAAAAGATGTTCAATTCAATATGAAACTAACTTGATGATGAAAAAAAGTGATGAAGATGAAATTTTGATGTTGAAGATGGAGGAAAAAAATTGCTGATCAAAAAGTGGTAACTAATTGTTAACAATTAAAGGTATCTTGTCTTGAAGAAACCCGTTATACTATTGTAAGGTATGTTGTAGGTGAAATCAGTTACCTTGGTGTCCTGACGGCGCTTTGAGTACAATGGCCGAGCAAATTTAGGAGTGTGGTCAATGTGGGATGAGGGATGATGATGAATATGATGATGAAGGGAAGTTGGATATGGTGGAATCAACTCTTTGAATGGAGTTCTAAATCCGTCTACTGGACCATTGGGCATCCCTGTCATACCAGCCATCGCAACAGCGGCTGTACCATCATGTTCAGCGGTGTCAACCATATTTGCCTCCAGTGGGACTGGTGCAAATCTCATTCTTGGCGCTACAGCGGGTTGAATTTCCATGGGAATTTGATCATTCATTCGGTAGCTTGAAACATCATCGTGACTTGGTTCATCGGCATAATCACGATGATCATCGTAAAGACCAGAATCGGCTTGTGAATGTTTATTGTAGTGTCCATGTTTGAATGAGTGTTGACCACGATCTTTGTGGGTCACCTCATGGGAGGGTATTCGTTCAGCATCGTAACCATTAAAGTAAACATTAGCTGCATCCTCACTACCAGTTCCTGGTTCATTGGTTTCAACTTTAGCCCGGAAACCTTTCTCATCGGCAACATAACGGACGATACGTAGACGACCATCAACATCACGAATCCCATAAGAACCCTTTAAACTTTTAGCATCCCCAGTTTCCTTACGAAAAGCCTGAGCACCGTCTTTATCTTTAACATCATAACCGAAATCGTATCGATGTCCATCAGAGTCATAGTGTTGACCAAAATCGGGATCATTTTTACGGGCACTAGAATCTTCCCTAGCACTTAATGGTCCAGGCGATGAACCTTCATCTCTCGAATGACCGTATGAACGTGACTTTGATGATCCATAATCATCTTCATTCGATTCATGGCTACTCAAAGGTTGACCACCATTTCGATGATGATGTTGTTGATGTTGATATGATGATCCACGGTAAACAGATGAGGAGCGACTTCGATAATCACTTGATTGATCTTCATCAGTTGAAGAAAATGGAGATGGATTAACATGAGTCACACGGTACCGATGACCTGAAGCACTTGTATCCATATCACGGGTTCCATTTTTAGATTCTGCAGAGAATAACATGGAATGAAAGAAGAGAAAAAGAATTGAAATAAAACAATCAAGAAAAGAGAGAAAAGAACAAAAAAAAGTGATGAAAATCAATTGTTACCTTCGTAGGTTTGTAACACTGATTTTACCCAATCAACATTAGTATCATTCCCTTGATTTTTTGCTGATGAACTGTCACTTGATAGAGATGAGTTTGTAGTCCCTCCATTGGCATCACAATGGACACAATTGTTTACACATAAGATGATGAAAGAAGTTGTAAAAACGATGATTCGGACAATTGGAGACGACATTTAGTTGTAGCGTCTTCTGAATTAATCCCAAAGTTTTGATTCGTTAAATTAGATCAGTTTTTTATTCACAATTTGAACTTTTCGATCACTTTATCTTCGTAGTGAAAATAATTAGTGAATGAACTTGAAAAATAAATACACACACAAACAGCGAAGTAAAAAATGATAGAAACTTGTGAATGAAAAACTTTTTCTTTTTTCTTTCGATTCGATCTAATGTTATTTTCTCATTTATATTTTCTTCTTCTTCTCTCAACTCATCAGTTCCAATAAATAAATCATCAAATCAACTGATTGTTCAGTTTTATATGATGAATGGATTGTGTTCAATGAAGAGAACGAGGGTGGTTACAAATTCGAGGTTCGGTCAACCTTAACGGTAAAAGATCATAATCTGCATCCGATTGTATCAGGACGATTTAAGTGATCGACAAAAAGGATTAGCAAACATACATGGAAATGAAGGAGTAGGAAGATAAGGAAGATATTAAAAGATTATGGTTACATAATCATCTTCAAATTACCTGTTGATTGTATTTCCAAAAATATATAAACAATTTAGTACCTACAAATTGATCATAATCATGATAATCAGTTGATTGTAAACTGGAAAAGTTTATATTCAATAAAAACAAGAGGAAACTGCGGCTAAAATGTTACTAAATTTAGATATAATCTAATTCATTGTATTAATTGATTATCTTTATTATATTTTATGTATCAATAGATGATAATTGCTCAAATTTATGGTTGTTAATTGTTGTTGTTTTCAATTGACAGTTCTTGTGGTATAATTTGGATGCTGGAGGAGAGAGTCAAGATAATCACGTACATTAACATTAATTATTATCACAATTTAATCTTAAGCATCACTTATTGTCATCCCTTTAAATTGATATTACTATTTGTTGTTAACTAAATACAATTTAATTCACTGAATGATCACTAATCACGGATAGCTCAGGGTTACCCTTTATTGATTGATTATCATGAAGAGAAACAAAAAAAGATGACAGATTACAGACAGAAGAAGACAAAGAGCCACACCTTGAAAAGTAAAAGCAAATTAAAGATGATTAACTTTAGTAATTGAAGAAAATCTAAATCAATCAGAATCAATTGTAATTTAATAATAATATTTATACAATTAACTACAATTTAAAGTAGCAAAAGAAAGTCAATCACCTTTGATGTTTCAATAATATTATTTGGTGATTATGTTCATCATCACAATTATGATATTTTTTTATTGTTTTCAAATTGATTCATTTGATTCCGCAATTTATGGTTTACAATTAGTTAATAATTGAATTTTGATTAGCCAGGAAACATTGTTGTTTGTTGCTTGATTTCTTGGTATTTCGCAATCAAATTGTAATAGGATTTGATTGTTGTTTAAATTGGAACTATTGATTTACATTGTATTTTCTGTTGGTAATTTATTTGATAATCTTACTAATGAAGATTGACACTGACAATTTGATAAAAATTGAGTTAATTACATGTATTATCAGATATTGGTTGATTGCGTTAACAATTTAATCTTATCAGGAATCATGGTGAAAGCATTAGGTTAACACCAACAATCAAGCTAATTACGGTGGATTCAAAAGTTGATTAAAGGAGATTATGAATTAGTTTTTAATAATCAATTTCATTAACCAATTCATCTTGTTGTTTATTGAATATTAATAAATCAATTTGCTTAATGGAAATTATTCAAAGTCAGGTTGATACAAATTGGTCCTGACAGCTAATCAAAGTTAATTATTGACTAATTGCTAATTATTCTGATATATTCAAATTGTCAATCAAAGAAAATCAACTCTTCATTTCACAATACTTTTCATTGACTTTAAGGTTCGGCTTTTAGATTCTTCAAATTCGATCAAGTTGATTATTCAAATTGACAATTAACTCTATTCTGAATGGAAAATAACATGATAAGTTCATCTCAAGATAATATTAACCAGGCAAACTGCAGCGGCAGTGTGACGATTGATGCTAGAAAAGTGAACTGATAGAGAGAAAGAAAGAAAAAGTTAATATTACTTTTACTTAATGAAAGAGATATTATGAATTGAATGATGAGTAAACTTTTTTCAGATTATTATTTATTCACATTATCAGTACTACGAATAGAAATTGATGAAAAAAAGTGTCAGTTGATTAATTCGCTTCAAAACTAGCAGCTTATCCCAGGCCACCATCAATCGCAGCGAGAGTCGATCACCCCACTAACCAGCGGTGGAGCCAAAACCAGTAACAGCAGCGGCATTATCAGAACTAATATCGTAGGAATAGCTAATAGTACCAGTGGAAGCGACTACCACTCGAGGTCGAAAGCCTGATAAGCCAGAGAGTTGTACATACCGAACGATCTATGATCTTCTAGTTTCTACCATCAAATTATCCGTGCTGATAATTGAGCATGAAATCGAGAGTATATCAATTTGGTTGACTACAAACCCTCAATCAAAGTTCATATTACGATAATTAGAAGGAATAAAATTCACTGCTACTCTTGTTAACCTTTTCCTCTAACCACTGATTGCAGTTAATTATCATATATTCTCACAATTTAACGACTTAATTAATGGTTGTAATAATTAATGTTAAATTTGTATCGACTCCTTGAGTTTAAATTTAGTTGTGATATTGGTATGTGTCTATTAATAATATTTGGAATGAATAAAATCAAATTGATTTCTCTTTTCATTTATGATCCAAAAATCGAAAAACTTTGTCACGATATTTTGATCTAATTAAAGTTTAATTGTTAACTCTATTAATTTGGAGACATTCACAATTTAAATTGTTTTAATTATTGATCTCATCTCTGTTAAGGACGAGCCAAAAATCCGACAGGTGGCAGTAGTCAAACTTGGAAAAGTGTTTGTGCTGCCATCTCGTGGAATCTTTTCTCCCAATGATCTTTGTTGTTTTCATTTTATTGTTTTGGCTTTTCTGTGCTCTGAAAGGTCTTAATGTTTACAGGTGTTTTTCAAGCTTGATTATTATTTAATTAAACTGGACAATCGTTTGTTTATTATTAGGCTTCATGTATAAAATAGGAAAAACCGTCGATAAAAGTGAAATACCAATTGAAAGTTCAGATGGAAACACTGAATTGGAATCTCAGTTCATTTTGAGACTTCCATCTTTACCTGCTGCTGCTCTGAGATCTGTGGTTGCCAGTGGTGTGCTTAATCTGAAGGATCGACTTAATGTTCAATTGGAAAACGATATGAGACATGGAACTGTTCGTTTCGATGGTTGGGTGTTACCTGCTAAGGTGGTTGATCTTCCATCTATCATTGAATCACTTAAAACACTGGATGGAAAAACGTTTTATAAAACAGCCGATATTTGTCAAATGATGATTTGTAAAGAGGAGATGGAAGAGGAAAGGCCAGAGGGAGAAGAGTCAAAGAAAAAGGATGGAAAAGATAAAAAGTTTCTCTATCCACATGGAGTTACACCTCCATTGAAAAATGTGAGGAAAAAAAGGTTTCGTAAAACATTGAAGAAAAAGTTTTTCGATGTTCCCGAGATTGAGAAAGAGGTGAAAAGACTTTTTCGTACGGACTCAGAGGCGATTCATGTGAGATATGAGGTGGAAACAAAAGATGAGAAAAGTAAAGAGGCCGGTAAACAAGGTGTTCAAGCTGCTGGACCTTCGGGTCTTACATCCAACAATTCGCAAAGTATGGATATTGTGGAACACGATCTGTTTGGTGAAGTGTTGAGTAGTTCAGATGAAGAAGATACAAGAGCCCAAGATACCGATGAAGGAAGTCGACTCTCATCTCCTCCAATTCGTGAAGCAAGTAGTTCGCAGAAAGAAACACCCACGGTTACAGAGAATAAATATGTCACCGAATTTACTCCTGGAATGTTGACAGAACAAGAAAATCGTACGAGTGGAAATTTGTCATTCGATATAACCAGTGAGTCCTCGAGTGCTGCCGCTGCCGCTGCTGTTGCTGCTCTGGAAGAAGCAAACGAAATGGGAGATGTTGATAATACCTCTGCTAATGGTGATTTAGTTAATCGTTTGAATGAATTACAAAGTGAAATAGCCACGATCAGGGAGAAGAGACAAATTCAAGAAGCTGAAATCGCAGGTATTGACAATGCTGCTTTAGTTTCCCGATTCATGGTGATAATTGATGAATTCAAGAGACAAGAATTTGATAAAAGGCGACAATATGAGGAGATTCTTAAAATTTTAGACCAACAATTATAAAAAAGAATCAAGTTACACTCAACCTTGTGATTGGGAACAATTTAAATTTATTATTATTCTCAAAGAAAATGTATAAATGAACCATTGCTGATACCGAAAAGAAACAATTTACAAATGTATATAAAAATTATGTTTTCCCCAAATTAATATATTTATATTCAATTTCTTAATTGTTGTTGTTTTCCATTCTTCTCATGATTAGATCTTAATTTTCCTTATATCTTCCGGTGCAAAATCAACTCGCAACCTGAGGATCTGTCTCACTTCATTAGGTGTTAACCATAAAGTGACCATTCCACTGGACGATGAGTTGTTCCGAGAACCATCGGCATTCAAGTTGAAATACTCGAGAACCTCATTGATTGACTCGAAATTCAATACAATTGCAATTTGTTTTAGTCGTGAAAATTTATCTCTAATAGGCCAATTGGTAATGGACGATATATAATTGATTATTGCTCTTATTTCACGATCGAGTTGATAACCACCGAGCTGCAATTTAGTGAAAGAGAGAGAGAGAAAGAAAGAAATGAAAAATTAAAATAGAGGTTGGCAATTAAGAGATTTAAATTGAATATAATGATTACCTTATTGAATGTACACTTGAGAGCTGCGTTTTCAAGACGTTGAGATAACTCAGTGGATAGAATATTAATCAGAGTTTTATAATTGTTACTGGTTAGAGCAGATTTCATGCTTTTCAAAATGGAATCCAGATTAACCATGAATGTTTGAGTGTAAGGCCTTAGACCATCAGTGATTTCAAATCTAACGATATCATCATCGGAAAGTAAATGAGACTCGCTGTTAAATGAGTCGAGCCAAGATTTGATTCGACCCTTGACCAGACTAGCAAAGATTTGATGACATCCCGAATTGATGAGAGATTGAAATTTGGCGATTAATCCAAATAAATCATTTAAACAACTTTCGAGTTTCTCCTTTTGAACAGGCTCATCAACGATTATCGACGATTTGACCACTTGATCCTTAACAGTTGTTTTTAAGCTTCTAATATAATCACAAGCAGTGTCCAGATTATTCAACGAGCATAGGAAAATGACCTTTGCTTTTTCAATGTCCCCAACGGTTTGAAGGTAACGTCCCGTTTGAATTGCATTATAAGCTTGACTTAGATCGAGTGAACCAAGTGCTCCACTAATTGAGCCAATATTTGGGAATCCATGTTTAACTCTTTCGGAAAACGAGTCACAAAAAGATGATTCCAATATGGAAACAGTGTTATTGAGGGTCGCACAAAGAACGTCAAGATTTCCACTGGTCAGTGCTCGAGTGATTGATTGTTTAACGATGAAAAAAATATCATCCAACATGCTCGAGGTTAAAGATCCTTGTGTTAGTGTGGGTGTAGCACTTGTTTCAATGTCATCAGCCTGAATCGCTTTGAGACAAGATTCTCGAGCAAAATACTCTTCGAGTAACACATAGGCGCCATTTAGCTCTTGAATCATTCGACTTAATGAACAATTGCGAATCAAATCGTCCACTTTTTTCAGCTTCTCGTCAACTGTCAACCTTTCGTCGTCCTCATTGACTGAAGAGTTAATGTCTTTCTTTGTTCGTTCACGAATAAACTTAAAATAGGTTTCACTTCGTGAATTAACCTTCATCAGATCGTTAAGAATTGCAACAATTTCTCTTGGATCAACTTTATTCACAGAATTACCAGTGGATGAAATTTTACTCGACTTATTTATCGACGATACTGTACTGTTCAAATTCCTCTTGTCAACAAAATCTTCCAAAATTTTCTTCGATTGAAGATCGCACTCTCTCTGTAAAACTTCAACACAATAAATTAAATTTCCAGGTCCATAGTAGGTCTCGAAAAGTGGAGTGTGAGCATCAATCATCTTGGCAATACTTTCAAATAGATTAGTTAACTGGCCAATATGATCGGAAACAACTGAATCCCCACCAGCGAAACCACCTGATGAATTGATAGTGTCCATTGGATTCATTTGTAAACACAAATAATTGGAAAATTTTCTTAATCCATTATCTTTCTGCTTAAGCAAAGGGAAGATTTTGAAAAATCTCTCAACACTTGCACTGTCACTTTCTCTAACCGCTTCATCAAATTTCCTGGTCACCAGAGTTTTCAATTTATCTTCAGCTTCATGTAATTTGACAAATGCTTCTTCCAATGAAGATCCTCCAAGAACTTGACCATTAATTGTTCCATTGGTTGAATTCCGAATGGCAGATTCATCGATTGACAAGAACCTATGGATATTTGCAGCAGCGACTTCATAGTCTTCATTGTTCAAAGCTTCCTCAATATTTTGTGTACAATATTTCAGGTCCAGAATATCACCGACCCTTTGTAAACATTGACTGACCCGAGTTTTAACCGAATCCAATTGTTTTATTTTAAAACTCACATCAGAAGCACGATCAGAGGTTGAATGTATATTCTCTGATAATTGTTTACAATCAACTGGTAACGTTTCAAGAATGGGGATTTTTTCACTTATTTTTTTCATCTCCTCGGTGAATTTAGCATCATTTTCCAGCATTTGCTTGATCTCAGCTTCCAGGGCACGTTCTTCATCACAAACACTTTTATGAGCTTCAATTATTGCCTCATAAGAGATAAAATTAGCCATCAGATTGGTTGAAAAGGATTGAAACCAAAACACAAATAAAAAGTAAACAATCAAAGGAAAACAGGTGATGACAAAACTGTTTGCATCTGAGTTTTTACTGGTTCCATAGAAACCATTCTATAAATTAGAATTTTTGGTAATTAATTGGATGAAAAATAAAATAAAGAAAATATTGATTTAATTGCGAAAAAATAAGTCATGAGTGATGTTGAAAACTAAACCTATGAAAATATGGAAAAAAATTTCGATCAGGATGGGATTCGAACCCACGCGGGCAGAGCCCATTGGATTAGCAGTCCAACGCCTTAACCACTCGGCCACCTGATCTGACAAATCTTTATAAGTTTACAAATATGGTTACACAAACTGTGTTAATTTTTCGTTTTCCATTTCCATGGAAGATAACTTTTTTAATGCTTTTCTTTTTTTTCTATGAAGTTTTCGTATCGTAGATCAGTTTATTCAGGAATAGTCGTAAAGATATAACTGCTTTTGAGAAATTAAGCAAGAATTATAAACAATCATGCAAGATAAATGTTCTGCAAAATTTGTTGGAACTTTGATAAAGATTATTCTTGAAATATAAGTACCACAGCTTAATATTTCAGGAATAAAAACTTTACTTAAATCCTTCTCTATTCAGTTCTTAAACAGCCCCAGTATATTTATAAAAACTCTACATTAGATAAATATTTTACGGATTTTGTTACTTGATTAAAAAAAATCTTTAACTCATGACTAACTGACAACTAGCTAACTATTAACTAACTGATGATGAGATTTTGGAAAAGTCATTGAGTTTAACAAATGGCCTGAAAAAGATAAATCATAAAGTCATTCCATTCTCAAACAAAAGAAAAGAAACAAGTTAAAAATTCGGTTATAACAATTCTTGAAAAAAACACGCGATGATATTGCAACAACCGAAGGAAAAATTAAATAAGGTTATCAAATGTTCAAAGTCGAAGACACTTTTCAGCTAGATGGATGTTCTAAGAATGACAGCCATCGTCATAAACAATGTAAGAATATCCTCCGATGCAGAAAATGCGATGATCTTGGTCACGAAATGAGCAAATCTTCATTACCTTGCATCACATGTTATCGTTGTAATTTTGCTGAAAATACTAATCACTCTCAACATCTAATATCGCGTAATTGCCTGATAATGAATCTGGAAATCTAAAAAGCAATGAACAACATTGATTATCAATATAATCAATTCTATTAATGATAATTACAGAAATTAAGAATAGCAATTTAGCAATGGGCAAAATCGTAACTTATCTTGAGAGTAATCTACATCATGTTTTGCTTCTTACCGAACCAAATGTCACATTCCGATCAAGTTTTTTCTGATACAAAAGAAAAGAGCAGTGATAATATCAAATCAACCGAACTTTAAACTGTAGGAATGCCAGAGACAACGGTCGCTCTTTAAAGAGAAAATGAAAAAGGCCTCATATTTATCTGTACTTACCTTAGCTCGAGTCTGAATAGACAATCATTTGAATCTGAATTGTAAATTTTACACACTATCATCAATAGAAATTAACAAAAGAATGTCATAATTGATGGTTATGTTAACTCTCTTCACTCTTTTTGGTTTTTTAATTTAACCACAAATCGCCCAGATATTTTGGATAAAGGTTCGACTATGTTCAACGTACTGAATTTTTATTGATTATTTGATGATTTGGATGATTGAAATTTGTCAAGTTTCCAACTCAAGAAAATTTTACCGCAAGATCTCGGTTGCTAAAAATAGTGCTCTGTCGAGGACAAGAAAAAGTCATGTTGAAGTTTGAAGAATGGTACGTAAAATCATGAAACGTATTTCATTTTCGAAAAGTTATAAATTTTTTGTCAGATTTGGTGAGTCAAACTTATTCTTCACAATTTTCGATTACAAAATAAATTAAAAAAAGGATAAATGAAATTACTATGGATAATAAGTTGACTGAAAAAACTGTAGTAAACCTTGTAACCAAGACAATGGTCATAATAAATAGGATGATGGAAGAAAGAGTGAATGAGGACACTAAGATCGGAGGTTTATTCAATAAAGCTGGAGAGCAATGCAAAAAGATAATTGAATTCGTATTCATCAATAAACAACAGTGCCAACCTCCTTCTTCAGTATATTTTGGTTGCTCAATCGGTCTTTCAGTGATTGGATCTTCACCACCGGTAACTTTCCAAGTCGTAAACGTCAGACTGTGTGCTGCTTTGCAATATTTTCTATTGACCCAATTTATCTCCGATGGAATAAGAAGATCAGCTTTATGGTTCATCGTCATCACCTCGAATACAAGAATTGACGGTAAATTTAGAAATGTGGTATCACCAATTTCAAACATTTTGCCGTCACAAAAAGTATTTGAAAATTTGAGAATTGATTTAATTTAGGCATTTCATTTGTCAAGTTATCAACGCACCTTCATGAAAATATTTACAATGCTCTTGAATCCTCAAAATTTCATTCCCTGAAATCAAGCTTTGTAAATCTGAATGGATCGATGAATGAGCTGGTATTTTGAGGGTAGGTTGACGAATTTGTTTACCCAATCTTCGCTTCCAAAGTATCACCTATTTGGGATAGATAAATAGGTGATACTTTGTTAGAGTCAGGGTCCATTATCTCGAAAAGGCGCAATCCAAGTCAAAAAATTTTTCGATTTTAGGATTGACTAACATTGCTTCTGTATGGAACCGCACTAAAAACTTGGTCCTCAGGGTATGCCCAGGCCACTTTACCGCTTTACAACGCTAATCTTAGTTTTTGTCGATTTTTTAGAAAAGGCGCCAGTCGGCACCTTTTTCATTTCATTTTCTTATAGACCAGATCAAGATCTATCAGAATAATTGCAGAAAAGTTGGTCCTCAGGGTAGTCCAAAGATGCTATTCAAGTCGGAATGAAAAAAACATTGTTTTCTGTGTCTAACGAGCCTCACGTTCAAAAAAAAATGCAAATATATTTTTCTTAAAGAACAGCTCAAGAGCTTTCGTTTGATACCAAGATCAGCTATATAAGTATATTAATTCGATCACAAAACAATTCAGACCATTTTTCCGTTTTTGGTGAATTTTACGAAATCCGCGAGTCAGATCAAAAAATTAAAAATACGTGTTGATTTGTTTTAACTCATAAGCTCAAAAATCATTAAAACTGAAAAATTAGTTCTTATTTTTTATCTCACGACAAGAGATGGCACTGTGGCATGTGAAGCTGCCATCTACTGGATTCTTTGTTCATTCTTGCTTGTTGTCAGTGGCAACAAACTGAATTTCAATTTACTGTGTTTTGTCAACATTTGTTGTATTTTGATTGATTGTATTTCCACTTTTTTTCATTTAGTTCCAAAATTCTGTCATATGTACTAATTTTAAACTATCTTCTGGCTCTCTGAATCACACAAGATGGACAAGAACGAAAAGAATGAGAAAGAATCATCCCGAGATTTTGGTGTTATTACCTCCATTCTTAATGAGATGGGAATAAATGATTATGAACCTAAGGTTGTGAATCAATTGCTGGAATTCACTTACAGATATGTTACAACGGTTTTGGGTAAGTTCAATGAATTAAACTAGTGAATAGGTAATAATTGAATTATTTATTAATTTGAAGTTCGAATTGTTTTTCTTATTTCATTTGCTCATTTTAGAAGATGCTCGAATCTATTCTCAATATGCTGAGAAAAAAGTGATTAGTGTTGATGACGTTAAAATGGCCATTCAATCTCAATCGGAAAAGATGTTGACACTTCCTCCACCGCAAGATTTTCTAATGGAAATAGCTCGTACCCGAAACAATCAACCACTTCCTCCAATCAAATCAATTGTTGGACCTTGTCTGCCACCTGATCGTTACAGCTTAATCTCATGTAATTACAGTTCTAAAAAACGTAAATTTTCATAGAATTATTCAATAAACAAAGCGCGAGTGTAAACAAATATATTAGTCATCGATTTATCATTTCGGTATCAATCTAAAAAGTTTTGATTCATGTGTCGCCCAAATGGCAGAGGAAAGTAATCCGAGTGCTCCAGCCTGGTGTAAAGACGCTAAATGTTTAGGTACATAGGTAAGTAAAGTGACTACTCCCAAAGTGACTTGTGCCACTGCAGCTCCAAGAAAAACATTCATGGCAAGTCTAGAACGAGGTGGTAAATTGAGACGCCGAGAGTAAAGCCAAAGACCAAGAACACTGAGTACGACGGTATGAGCCAGAAGGCGGTGGTCAAATTGAGCAGTTGTTGGATTTTCGGTGATATTAGCGTACCAAGGATCTTTAGCATCAATGTCAGAGGGATCCAACGATCAGCCATCTTGGGCCACGAATTGTAAACTAATCCTGCCTCTAAACCAGCAACAAACGCACCCGAAATTGCAGTGACAAAGATCAACCCAGTTAAACCAACCAAACTCTTACGGAAAAATAAGTGTCTTGCAGTTATGGACACCTGACATGAACAAAAACAAAATTAAACATTAATTGTTGGTTAATTGTTAAAAGATGATTTCTCTCCAATCCTACTTACCTTTTGTGGTGGCAAGAGAAATTCAAATGCCGTTGAAAGTACCAATGAATAGAAAACAAATGCTGTACCTAAATGAGCGGCTAATCTGTAATGACTAACATGTGGGTGACTGTATTTCTTTGCGGTCTCTTCTTCGAGGCCACTTTTAACCATATACCAACCAAGATAACCCTATTCAAAGAGCAAACAATTAGACACCAGAGAACCACAATCAACACATTTATCTACCTGACACAAAAGTAATCCTAAAATACCAAACAATTTATGCATCAAAGGTCGAGGTAACTCTCTGAATAACCAAAAGTACGTAAACGGCACTAAGTAAACCAACCCAGTTACTCTTCCCATGGATCGATGAAGAAATTCTACCAACCAAATTTTCTTAAATTGTTCCAAAGTCATATCTTGATTTGCTCTGTAATAAAAGAATTTATTTGTCAACACAAACTTGTCACTCATTCTTTTCAATTGCGATTAAAAAATTCCACTTACAACTGAAACTCGGGGAATTGTTTATATTTTCAAATTCCGCTTCCCACCTTGACTTGGTAAAAGGTGGAAACTCTTTGAACGGGTGCCAATCAACCATCGATAAACCTGATCGGGTTAATCGAGTGATTCCTCCAATAACAACGGTACCAAACGAAGCACCGGCGACACAAAGCAACCATTTTCCGATTCTCTTTCGCTCTTTGGGTCCAATAAATTTATTATAAGGCTCAGCCGAAGGTGTTATCGAAGTTGATCCTCGACGATTAATCAAATTTCTAAAAAAAGATGGCCTGGCAAAACCCGATGTCTATATTGAAGAAGATTTAAAATGATCATAATCAGAAATACAATATAATTAACCAGAAGAAAAAGAAAATAGAAAAAGTAAACATTTAGATTCATCTATTGATTAATACTCACCAATGATTTAGATAAAATTACCTGATGATTACAAAGACGAGTGATTAACATGATTGATTGTTAGTTCTTAGAAATGATAATAATAATTTAAGGAAAGAAAAGACAAACAATTTAAATTGTTTCCAATTACAATCAACATTCAAAGGAAACACAAGTTAACATTGCATCAGAAAAAAAATCTTCAGCTGATTGGATGAAGCGCTTTTTTCAACCTTCTCAAGAACTAAATTAATCTTCAATTTATTTAATTGCTCTGATGAAAATTGATTAATCTAGGAAATTATTCTAAATCTACTTGATGACAATTTAGATAGATTCTTAAAGAGAAACAAAAATAATCAATTTTCCGATCAATTTTTAACTCTATTGAACATGTAACTACATTTAATTGTGACATTGAATTAATTCAATCATTAGGTTGATTTAATATGACAATTAGATGAGATAATGATATTAAATTGTGATTAACCAGAAGTTGACGAGTGAGTGAATCAATTGAAGAAAGTAATTATCATTGTTTTTCAAACATTTTTTTCTGAAAATTAATTAGTCAATTGAAAAACATGATCAAATTGTTGATTCCAATTGTTAACCACTAAATGGTTGAATCTATTGAGGAATCATTAAGGAAATTAGTGAGAAATCAGAAGAATTAAATTATTTTTTATATACAAATTGAAACAATCAACAGTTAACAATTAGCATCAAGTGAACATTGATTGTAATCAACATGAAAACAGTTATTTAATTGTCCAAAATTAAAAATTGGATCAAACAATCAATCAAGATTTGGATTTATTTTTAACAATAACTCAGGAAAATTTGATTTAATCATGAAGCATTTAGTCTGGTTAACAATCAGTTAATTTTAACTATTGATTTTTAATGAAAAAATATCCATCATATTGACTAATTAACTATAATTAACTTGAATTTCCAATAAAGATCAAGGATCAAGTGGTTAACCAAATTAATCAATCGATAGAGTTAATCAAAAAAATGTTTGCTTATAGTTTTAATTAGTTGATTACATAGGAATTAGCCTTTTCTTAAGTCAACAATTAAGATCATTAACAATTAATAAGAAAGGAAAAAGTAATAATGGAAAACTAATCAACCGATAATGTTAATTTAGCTCAAGATCAAGTCTTAATTACCGTGATTAGTGTTAAACTAACCTGATAATCAATCAAAAATCATAATTTATTTAAGGTTATAATTTGGGTGCAAAAAAAATATCTCAGTTAATCAAAATCCTTGAGAGTTAATTTAATTGTAACAAAACAAGAAACACAAAGCAAAGTGTTAATCATGAACAATTTAAATAATATCTAAATTCAATTAATAATATGGATCAATTAAAAAAAAGAAACCTTTTGATAATCATCTTAATGTTAACCAATTGAAAACAAAACCTAAATTGTTGTCGAGATTAAATCAGTTAAATTAAAGTTGTGAAGGTGGAAACAATTAACAACAATTAAAAAAAAAAGTTTTAATTTCACTAATAAAGTTAAAGTAACAGTTTCTGATTATCTGTTGATCTCAACCAACAATCAATGTTAATGGTGAAAATCAATTGGAAAGGTTAATTTTAATTTCTAGTGAAACAATTTAGTTTAAAAGTAAATCGATACAAACAAGTTGCTTTGATTGTGAGTTTTCAATGAGACAATTTAAATTGTGTCCACTTTGGTGCTTGTTCAAATCAAATAATTGTGACAATTGATAATCATCATCATCTGTTCAATGGTGTTGATTGTTGGTGTTGTAGGTGATGAGTGGTGAGTTATTCTGGAGGAACATTGAAATTCAAGGTTATACCGACGCTGATTGTTGATTGTAATTGTTGTTGTGTCGAGCTCATTGTTTACGAAGAAGAGAAAAAAAATTCAATTTTCCATTGAAAAGATTTACCTGGAAACTCAGGGAAAGAGACAAAGGTAAGAGAAAAAAAAATTATTCCAATAAAACGTCCAACCCACAAATGATAATTTCAACTCGTTATTAGATTTTGATAGATGATTTAATAGAGAGAGTTAATAATTAGTTAATTGTCTTCTTGCCACCGTCTTAATCACTTGAAACTTTCAACATTCTATCATTTTCTTATGTGTGATTGTTATGACAATTTAACAAATCATTTTGACCATTGTTAACAATTGTCAATAAAACAATTACTAAATCAGTTGTTGTTCACCTTGACAACAATTAATCTCTACAATTAACAGGTTGATTCGGTAAATCATCAAAATGCTATCTTTGGTCAACTTGAGCTTAATCACTTTCCTCTCATCATTAACGTTAATTATCAACTTAAATTGTATCAATGGCCAAGAATCACCACCGAAAATGTATCCAATCATATTGGGTAAGTGGTTTTATTTTAATTGTGATCGATCAATATTAAGATGAATCATTCAAACAATTCTTTTCATCCCTAATTGTTGTAATGATTAGATGATCTCTATGTTAATCTGTTGAAATTTATTCGTTAATCTTAATTGTTTATGTTCAGTTCCTGGTTACATGGGAACCAAATTAGAAGCCATTCTGCAAGAGGCAACTGATGCTCCAGTTTATTGCTTACGACGAACCGGAACTTGGACATTGTGGTTTAGCCTCAAAGAATTGATGCCGATGGTACGACAGTGTTGGTACTATGCCGCTCGACTTCATTACGATTCAATCACTCGCAAGACAACCAATTCCAAAGGTGTCACCGTGATTGTCCCACAATTTGGTGGTTTAGAATCAGTTGAATATTTATCTCCCTGGTTTGAAGGAATCATTCAACAGAGTGAGTTCAATTTACTTTCATTTTGACCAATCATTCAATTTACTTGTCACCGATTTAAAGTTTTGCTATTTAATTAAAATCTTAAGCTTTTCCATTTTAATTTGGAGATTAATTGTTACAATAGATTAGAGTGTGAAATTAATTGTTGTTCATTGTTGACACAATGTAACCACCGTTTCACAAGTTAAGTCACATTTTCCTTTGTTCTCAATTAGTTGCTAATGTTTTTCAATCTTTTCGACTTTCGCATCAATGATTTGATTCTGATTAACTGATTCATGGAAGTTTTCTTGATTAATTCCTGGTTATTTATCCTCAGCAATTTATTACGCTAACATGGTGAGTCGTTTTCGAGATGTTGGCCTAACACCAGAAGTACAAATTCGTGGTGCACCTTATGATTGGCGACGATCAATGAGTAAGTACTGACCAGTGAGAAGGAAAGTGACTAATTAACAATCAATTGTTTCGAATGAAAAAAATCAAGATGAAATGGACGAATGGTTTTCGAAGTTTAAAACACTAATCGAGGAGACATATACTCGAAATGGAAATAAAAGTGTCATCTTGGTTGGACATTCGATGGGCGGAAGTGTTGTCTACATTTTCCTCCGTAAACAAAGTCAAGAATGGAAGGACAAATACATTCGCCTAATGTGGACTCTCGCCACACCTTTTGGGGGTAATTTCAAGTACATGTACGATTACTTATTCGAAGACGATTATCCAGGTTACCTTTCATCGATAATTCGTCGAGCAGAACGAACCTTTCCCTCTTTAGCTTTTCTCATTCCAAAGCCCGAAGCCTGGGGCTGTGAACCTTTCATCACTTCGCCCAATTCAACGTACACTCCGTGTAACTATGAGGACTTTTTCCGTGACATTGGTCAGCCCAAAGCCTACGAAATGTGGAAAGATGTCGCTCACCTTCAGGGATCCTTTGAACATCCCGGTGTACCAATTAAGTGCTGGGGTGGCGGTGGTCAGCCAACATTACGATCAATGAGCACTACAAGTAACAATGTTTACGATACACTTAGACGGACAGTGGTCAAAGAATCGGACGGTGATACTTTCGTCAATTATCAAGCACTTCGAGTTTGTCTCAAGTGGAATGCTAATACTAATTATCCGTTCCAATTTCGTACTTTCAACAAAACTCATATGCAAATGATCAGAGACTCTGAAGTTCTTGATGAGATTGTTAAAAGTTACCTTGAATTACCTTAGAAAATTTAATTTCTACATTTGTGTCTGGTGAACAATTTAATTGATTAAGTGATCATCAATCTCTCATCTTAATTTATTTTCTAGTCATTCGTTTATAATAACGGAAAGAAATTAATTCGTCACAATGTAATTTATTAATTGTAACAAGAGTTACAATTTATATTAATTGTAACTCTTTTCCCTTTTTGCTTTTGTTTTTCTTCCTGATTGGCAAATTAATTCATTTAATTGTTTTGGGTTTTCAAAACTAGTCAAGAGATTTAAATCATTTAATAATTTAAATTATCTAACTGATTGTTATATATACTTTTGTCTATTCATTTGATTATCAACATGATTGTAAATGAATAAAAATCTTATTGCATTCCAATTGTTTTGTTTCTCAATTGATTCATTGATTGTTTCATTCTTTCAATTAATTAAGTTGATTGTGAATGTTTTCATCAGTTCGTCAACATGAAAACAAGTCATCAATTAAACGATATTGCAATTGTTATTATTGAATAGACGAGAAAAGAAAAACGATAAAATCTTGTCAGTCTAAACTATTGACAAATTTAAATAGTTATGATGAGATTAATTTAGATTAGATTTAGAATCTCTGTTTGTACATTTGAAAATTGGCCTTTTTGTTTTTCCATCGCAATTTAACAACAAAATGTAATCGATTTTGGTTTATCATGAGGAGTTGAAAATGTGGTTAATTTTCCAGCAGTTAACTTGGATAAAAGACGCTTCGGGCCATCGTTTTCTTCGCGATTATCATCGGGAATCAACTATTCACAATAAAGAGAAAGAAATTGAATTAGATTGGAAATGAGATTTTTTTCGACATGGAATTGATTTCTTACCTTATCACATATATGTTTACTTATCTTTCCATCGTTATTGACATAGAAGATGGAAAATCCATCAACCCAACTGATACAATAGGGAAAAAAAGTGAATATTTAGTGATGAAAGAATAAAAATATTCGATAGATTCGAATGTAAATGGAGAATCAAATGCCACTTACACATCAAGATCATTCTCAATATTGTCTACAAGCTTTTTACCCTTTACCGGTGGTAAAGAGGATAAATAATTAAGCAAAATAGTCCAATTTGGTGAACCGGTTATCCTCCATCTTACTTTGACACAACTTTCCTCGAGATGTTCGGTCATCTTGAGAACATCCAAATCAACATGATGATATTTTAGATGAGAATAAAATTTGACCAGACCAACGTTCTGCTTATAAACAGGTAGACCAACTATTTTTATATTTCTAATATTATCTTCTAAGACAATGTCATCTGAATAGATTTCAAAACAATGAGGTGCTCGGAAGAAATTGGGTAACTAGAAGAAAAGCAAAGGAGGAGAAGAAAAAGAAAAGAATTAAATTAAAATAATCAGTTAAATAATCTAAAGTCGAAGATGAAAAATTAAATAAATCAACACACGCAATTAGTAATTAAAGACTGGAGAGACAAGGACAAAATCTTTCAAGGCAAAGAAACTGGAAAATTAATCTCGTTGTAGAAAAAGAAAATACTTACATTTTCACTTAATGTCTTGTAGATTAATCTTAATTGTGAAGCACTTGCTTTAGTAATTAACATGATGACGATGAGATTTTTGAGGAAAATTAAATTAAAACAACTAAACAATTAATTTAAACATTCTCAGTGAATGTAAACAAACAGAAGAGAATGGAATTTATTTCAAAGCGAATAAACAAAATCTCGATACGAGATGTCGCTAGTATACAGAGAATTTTTGTTTTTTTTTGGAAAAAAAATTTCAAAGAAAAACTTATCATGAAAGAGATAATGGAAAAAAACTCGAATTGAGAACATGGATGATTCTTTCACACATGAGAGAACTTGTAATGTCCATGAAGTCCATTTCTTGTAATTTCGAGTAAAAGTGTCGCGATTATAATGTTCATCAAAATTGAGAATGAATTTGCACAAGCTAAGAGATCAGAATAGTCGGTGTTTCCTCTCGAACTATCGATCGGCTGTAAAAAGACCAATCTCGGTGATTGATAAACTCTTGCGACTCGATTAATCGGTCTACGTCTCACCGATGTTTCTCTTCCCAAAGTATCTCGAAGTCTTAAACGTTGAAAATTATTCCGTTTATCAATATCCAACTCGTTCCATGAAATGAGAACCAAATGATTTTCTGAAATAAATGCTTCAGATTTTGTCCGAAACCAAAGTCGAGTGAAATCGCTGTTAACATAATCAACAGTTTGTTGACGTCCAATAAATTGAAATACAATCGACTGAGTTGATATTTTTGAATTTTCATACAATTCAATATGATCATGTAAAGTTGTGCTTGCGGAGCCAAAAACTTGATCATTTTCTCCAAAGTGCAGTCGATAATTATCGTCAATATTGTTACTTTTTTTAAGTTCATCAGGTAGTCCAATTTTTGATAAATGTTCAGGATAAAGTGAAGCAAATATCATCATATAAAATCTATTAATATCATTCGAAACTGAACCAGTAAGAATCTCCCATGAGGATATTTCAGTCAAAGTCTCATCAGAGAGCAACGTATCACTGCGATCGAAAGTCCAATTGTAACTATCTGCTAATCGATGGTACTCTTGTTTCAAGATCTTATTTATCGACCTTTTATGAGTTTTTACGCTCACATCGAGTTCTTGATGCATGTTATTAGCACCATACACTTGGGACGAGGTATTTAGCTCGAAATTATCAGCGAATGAATAAGAAAGAAGAATCATTAAGCAAAGAGTAGCGTTGATTAGAAGAGCACAAATTGTATTGTTATCCATTTTGATTCACAATTTATTCAATTTAAAAGATGGAAACTGTCACAATAAAAGAACCACTTGTTTGAATGGTCACAAAGAACTGACCATTCTCTTTTTTCAAGCATTAACCCACTTTCCTTTTCCGTTTTCTAAAGCAATTATCTTCTTTCTCCTCTATTTTTATCTTTTTTCTCTTTCTTCTCATCTCTCTCTCTCTCGATAATTGCTGAAAACCACTAATGAGTTGAAGATTATTCTTGTGTCCAGTTTCTCTTATCTCAAATTTAAATTAGTAAATAATTTTTTACCAAACACAATCACTAAATCACTAAATTTGATTAAATGATACAAAAGTAACCAAACAAAAATTAAAATGATCAATTGAACATCACAACTAATCATCAATGTTAATAGATTTGTTTCAAGTGATTCTCTACCTCAGCAATTATCAGGCTTGATTTCGGTGATTCAATATCGACCTCACGTTTCCGTTCAATCATCAACGGAGATACAAATGTTATGCCTTTGACATAAGATTCGAGATTTTCTCCTTCGTAGCTGACAAGCGGTGAAATCTCACAAACGAACGGCTTATCATCTGTACCATCGTACATGCTTGGTCGTGGACTAAAATACCACCGGCTTGTTGACAGTATCGTCCATGTAAATAGTAAATTGATTCCCGAGCCGTTTTTGAATTATCAGTACAGACCAATCTGTACTCTTGTACATCGATTATTTCTTTGTGTCACCGATGTTCTTTTTCCCAAATTATCTCGAAGTCTTAAACGTCTTTCGATCGCATCATCAATTTGTAATGGAACTTTTTTCAATACATTTGCACTACTGGAAGAATTACTGTGAAACATCAACGTTGGCGTTAAAAAGGTTGATCGAAATTGAACAAAGCCAATCCCGTTCTTCATCCGTGGTTGAAACTAATTAACGAACTTCCCAATTAGACAAAAAAGTTAATCAAAAATCGCCTTAAGACTCCTACTCTCTTTTCTGCAGACAATTAACTTTATTTGAATTGATCTTCCCATAATTGTAAATGATCAAAGTGTCTTAAGATAATTGCATCATCCACCTAATCGTCAACAACGTTATCACGAGAAAGAGTTAATCAGAACAAAAATCAAATTTAATTGTAATTAAAACCAATTAGACTTGAGTTCAAATCTACTTCTAAATTGGTACAGTGTAGTTTAATTTGCCATTTGAAAATATCTTCAAGAAATATTATCTTTAATTGCTGAATATATTTTGATAAATGCGTTCTAATCATTTCAGAATTGATCAAATTAAAGGTAATCCGTATGATGATTGTTAACAATCAAAATGGTGACAATCATAGTTGTCAAATCAAATCAGTAAATTGTTAAACTTCACCTTTGATTTCAATCATCAATCAATTCATATTATCACCCAAGAGATGAACAATTAACTTGAAGCAATCAAATTGTATAAGTTTACTCCTAATTGTTAATCATAACAATTTGATTCTTAATTTGATCAAATAGGGTCAATCATTGATTCAATTTTTTTGTTACTTTTTAATTTATTATAATTATTTGGAAGATGATTTAGTTATAACCAAATAGCAATTAGATTAGTCTAAAAAACCCTCCAGTAAATTGTGTTAATTTGTTTACAACAATTAGACTGTAATGATGATCAAGTAATTTACAATTTAACCGCCCGTTCAATATAATCAATATAAAAACTTTAATTTGATACAATTAATGAAGATGAAAAAAAACATTCGCCCAACAATTAACATAAATTAATATCATCATATATGAAATCATAGACAGATCTTGACCTGATTATCGTTAATCATAATTGTCTTAATTGTTTTAATTAACTTAAATTATGAATTCAATTTCTTCTCAAAAACAAATATTAAATTCATTGTTTTCAATTGAATTTCTTTTCATCAATGATTTACAATTGATTGTTACATTAATAATAACCTAATTTTGATTCCATCTAATTGCTGAATGATTAATCTTGTTTCTTTCATCAATATTACAGAAATTTATTAATTACTATGATTTGGTAATCATAAAAATCAAGGTAATCACAATTTACCAGCACAAAAGAAAACATCAAGATTCATTGATTACTTTAATGACGCAAGTAACAATTAATTGTTGGATTGATTGGTATTAGTGGGAGACGGAATTAATTATTTAATTGTAATTAGAGAGTAAGTTACTGTGTCTAATTAATTTGTAACCATTTTTGATTAAATATTAGGAAAATCTGGTTAAGATGATTAGTTTATTGTTACCATTTTCCATTCACCATTAACTGATTGTTGGATTTGATTGTGATACTTTTAACCAATAGTAATTTAATTTTTTCGTCTAATTTTTTGTACATTTCATTAATTAGTGTAAAAGAAACAGTAAATCAGAAGCCTTTTTCGTATTGAGAACAATTTATTTTTAGTAATTAATCAATCTCTAATTATTTCTGCTTCTTTTTCATCATATAATCTTCTTAATTGTTGTTGATTAATTAGATTAACAGTAAATTCAAACTCTCGATTGTTATTATTATTGACTTACGATGTTTACTTGTTGATCAATTTGTTGATTGTTGGTGTTGATACTCTTGTGAACATATTGGTATTTATGTCAATCTTTAATTCAGTTAATTGTTTACAATACAGGAATCACAACTAATTGGATCATTTTTAATTTACTCATTTGATTGTTGTTCTTACCTTTAACAAACAATTTATATGAAAGAAAATGTAATCCCAATGAAAAAGGTAGGAAACACTAATTAGAATTGCTAATTAAAACTGTGAATCACAACCACACAATATACAATCATTACAATTAAGAAAAATGAGAAGTAAATTAAAACCACACCAGTAAAACAATAACTTGATCCACAATTGATTACAATTAATTAGTCATTGTCTGATTAAGGGATTGGAAAATTAATCCAATCCATAAGAGGAAACCAATCAGAGAATCAGTAAACAATCAAAGATGGAATCAAAGTTAATAACGAAAAATAATATACGCCAATGAATAGTTACACTAATAAGAGAAACAGTTGACAGATAGACTCGAAAAGCTTTCTAGTTTTCAAAAAGTCCTTCAAACGACCTTCAAGTGCGTTCTGTGCAGAATGACCTGTAAGACCTTGACCTTGAAAAATGCCGAAAAAGTATCGTCCAAACTTCCATAGACTGAATATGGACCCTATCGGCCAAGTGGTTTTCGAGAAATCGAAAAATGAAAACGGAAAAAGTAACTGAATTGTCATGTATCGTATAAGATGAGGAAGTAAATCAATCGATGAACAATTAACAATTAATTCTAAATTTAATCAACAATTAAAGAAGACAAAAAACCCGGTAAAATGAAATTTCCTCTGATTCGGTTATTGATTATGCGCTTTACTCATTGTTTACTTTTTATTAGAATGAAAAAAATGTCTACAATCTTCAGTTCGATTGATTAATTGTTTAGATTAAATGAATTCCATTTAATTGTATTTTCTTTTTTTTGTGTTAAATAATTATAATTATCTCTTTCAATAGAATTGTAAATCTTGAATGTGGTCTTACAATCGTTAAATTGTCACAATTCGCAATTTACTTGGTTAAGGTACGAAAAACTGTTTCCTGGTTGTTATGTGTTCAAGATTAACAAGACGATTACCGGTAAACCAATTGATCGATTCATGGATTAACCTAAAGAAACAGAATGATTGGAATTATAATCTCAATGAAACAGTATTGTCTTAAACCAATTGGTCTAAATAATTGTTCACTAATTATCAATTGTAAACCAATTTCATCCTATTTTTACTACTGTTACTTTTACAACAATCTAAAATTACTACCGCCAACACCATCAGGATAAAGCAACATTCAATTCAAACAAATCTACCAATTGTTTTGCTGTTTTTTCAATATCATCATCATCATCAGTAACATCTTATCATCAACTAATTATGTTTCTCCTCTTTTTATGAGTCTCATCCCATTCATTCCTCCCTCTTTCTCACTCACTCTCTCTCTCTCTTTCTGATGATGTGGCAAATCTTAAATCACTATTTATGTTAACCATTGGCCTCTTTTTGAGTCAGTTTCATTTGAGATCATCAACTAGTCAAGTTAAGCTCAGAGCGAGAATTTATCGTTTTTAATTATCTCTCAATCTAAATCTCTCTCTCTCTCTCTCATTCTCCTTCTCAAATTCCCCTCTCTCTCTCTCATACTCACACTTTCTCATTCTTCGTCATTTCTACCTGTACTTTCTCTCTCACTTGCTTATCCATCTCCCGCTTCTTTTCTCTTCATCCGCCCAATTCACTTATCATCTTCTTCTTTCCTGATCATTTCATTTCTTCACTCATTCCATCGTAATCGACATCAACACCAACATCGTAGTAACCCTATCGCTCTCTCTCTCTCTCTCCCTCATTCTCCTTTTCTAATTTACTTTTCTCTTCCAAATTATTTCTTCTTTTTGAAGAATCAAACCAAAAAGTAAACACCAACTTGAAAGTGATCACAATTGTTAACTAAATTAATTTCTATTCACGATAAGTATTGTAACTCAGGCGATGACAATATGATGGATACTAATGTCAAGGAACAATTAACTTCACTTTTGGAGAAACATTCACAATCTCATTTACTTCAATTCTGGGACCTGTTAACCGATGAACAGAAGATTCAACTTCATGATGATATTAAATCGATTGATTTTGATGAGATTATCCCAACATTCCGTGAATCAACAACTGATAAATCATCAGCTAATCGACAGATTGAAGATGATCTCCTTGAGCCCCCAGGCGATTCAATACATTCAGGAGTAACTAAATGTACACCAGAGGAATTAAATCAACTTCGTGAAAGAGGTAAATTAATGTCAAGTCTTTTAATTTATGTTCTTATTTTCCTATGATATTAATTTTTTTTTCTCTTTCTCTGATTTCTTTCAGGTCTCAAAGAGATTTCCGATGGAAATGTTGCCGTTCTGTTGATGGCTGGAGGCCAAGGAACTCGACTTGGTGTTGAGTATCCGAAAGGAATGTACAATGTTGGCCTTCCTTCGGGTAAAAGTCTTTACCAATTGCAAGGTGAAAGAATTCGTCGACTCGAGGAATTGGCATTTCTTAAATTTGGTAAGAAATCATCGATCCCTTGGTACATAATGACCAGTGAACATACGAAAATTGCAACGGAAGAATTTTTCTCATCTCATGATTACTTTGGCCTTTCCCGAGATTCTGTGATTATCTTCGAACAAGGAACTTTACCTTGTTTTACCTTCGAGGGTAAAATTATTCTCGACAAACCTTACAAAATAGCTCGATCACCCGATGGTAATGGTGGACTTTACCGTTCGCTCGATGAGACTGGTGTACTTGTCGATATGGATAAACGAGGAATCAAATATGTCCACGTTTATGGAGTTGACAATATTCTGGTTAAAATGGCTGATCCAACATTCATTGGTTATTGTGTCACCAAAAAAGCAGCCGCCGGTGCTAAAGTGGTCGAAAAATCCTCTCCAACCGAAGCCGTTGGAATCATTTGTAAAGTTCAAGGCAAATTCAAGGTTGTCGAGTACAGTGAAGTGTCCACAACGATCGCAGAGAAACGCAATGAGGATGGACTATTAACTTTCCGCTGCGGGAGTATTTGTAATCACTTTTTCACAGTTGAATTTCTTAAAGATGTTTCTAGGTAAATATAATTATCTTTCCGATCATAATGATAATCATTTACTTGAATTCCTATTTCCATGCGAAAATAGCTTAACCATGAATAGATATTGACAGAATTAATATTCAGTTGACTATATGGTTGGATTAATTTACAATTTTCTAATTATCATTGCATCAATAGTTAAAATCTGCTCACTAATACATAATGTAATTCATGATTACTTAAGATATTGACATTTACTTAACTCTCTCCCTCACTTATTGATAATTATCTTGATTTATAAACCTTATGATAACTAAATCAATAGGTTATTTCGTTACACTATCAGAATTATTAATTTTTATTTCTCTCTTACAGGAAAAAGCTCACTCATCATGTTGCTCGAAAAAAGATTCCGTTCGTTGATTCTAAAGGAGAAACAATTAAACCCGATAATCCAAATGGTATTAAGTTGGAGAAATTTGTCTTCGACGTATTTGAGTTTACACAGTAAGTTAATTTCTAAATCTACTAATGATTACTACTTGTTGACTTTTTGCTTTTTTCTTTTCCATCACTTTCATTCAGAGATTTGGCGATTTGGGAAGTGATTAGAGGTGAAGAGTTCGCACCATTAAAGAACAGCGAATCGGCCTCGACCGATAATCCAAAAACGGCTCGGGAATCAATTTACTATTTACATGGACGATACTGTCAACAAGCCGGTGGTATTTTAGTCCACGACCAAGCTACAGATGATAAGCCGTTCGTTTGTGAGATTTCACCGCTTGTCAGTTACGAAGGAGAAAATCTCGAATCTTATGTCAAAGGCATAACATTTGTATCTCCATTGATGATTGAACGGAAACGTGAGGTCGATATTGAATCACCGAAATCAAGCCTGATAATTGCTGAGGTAGAGAATCACTTGAAACAAATCTATTAACATTGATGATTAGTTGTGATGTTCAATTGATCATTTTAAATCAAATAAGTTGTTACTTTTGTATCATTTAATCAAATTTAGTGATTGTGTTTGGTAAAAAATTATTTACTAATTTAAATTTTAAAACATATAATAAATATTAACTATTTTATTAAATTTCCTCTTCATTTATTTCTCTCAATCACTTAACAATCAACTAATTGTTGTTTTAATTAGATTTCTGGTTCTTTTTGAAAATTCCGCCGTAAAATCGGGTAACTTAAAGTTACGAATGAATCATTTCATTTAATTTAAATTGTTGCTATTTTCCAGATGATTAAGATTTAATTGTGTATTTGTTGCTAAATTACTACTTTAACCATATTCTAATTGAGATAATTTACTCTTTATCCAATTGAGAAATAGACTAATTAGTAAATTTGTCATCTTCGATGGGAAAATGAGATGATTGTGTTGTAATTAAATCGAATGTCCATCAAACTAATTCAAGTGATTCTGTTGATTCTCAAGCAAATTCTAATCATATTTAGAGCTACATTTGTATGATAATCTATACAAATGTATTAATACAATATTATTATCAAAATTAGAGTTATCAGAGTATAAGTAATCGGAGTAAACTGACAATTAAACTGATATCTAATTGTAGTGATGATTTGAGTTCATTTGATCACTAGATGGAGTTGATGAATTGATTACAATCATTGATTAAAAAGTGAGTTTGATTTGAATGAAAATGTTTAAATCAACCGATTGATCCAATGATCAGAGTTAAAATGAAAGATGAAATTAAATTGTCCAAACACCGATTTTTAGTCTTGATACTTTATTGTTTGACAAATTTACACATAAATTCACAATGGACACAATTCCAAGTGATCGCGGACATTTTCAGGCCTTATTTTGGTGTTACAAACACGGACATCGACTGGACAGTGACCATTTGGTGTCCGATTTACCTGGTAATGTGTTTCGTCTCAGCTTATTGTTTGGATAAGTTTGGCCTCCGTTCTTGTCTTCTAATGGCTTCGGGATTCAACCTGTTTGGATCGGCAATTAAATATTATTCAATAATCTATCCTGATTTTTTGGTCGCCTGTTTAGGTCAATCGCTCGTGGCTACTGGTCAAGTGTTTAATTTTTTTCTCCCGTCGAGTATTGCATTGACCTGGTTCCCTGCTGAAGTGGCCTCGACCATAACGGCAATCGCTCTTTTTCCGATGTTCTTTGGTAATGGATTAGGTTATTATCTTCCATCTCTCGCTGTTCCCGATGGATCTTCGCCAAGTGTCCAAAAAATGGACCTCGAACGTTTCTTTTTATACTACACATTAAGTGCAAGTTTATTATACTTTTTGAATTTATTTCTTCTAAAGAATCGGCCTAAGTATCCGTCAAGTCTTGCCTCAGCCAAAGCATTAGCTGAGAACACGGAATTCATTGAATCATGGAAAGTGATTCTTACCAATCGACTCTCTAATTTTATATTAATCACTTTTACTTTTCTTCAAACACTGGCCAATGTTGTCCTTGGACTATTAAGTCCAATGATTAGTAAATATTTTCCTAATCAAAACATCCTGATTGGTATAATCGGTGCGATCGCTTCTCTTTCAAGTGTATTCGGTTCGCTAATATTGGCCTGGGTAACCGATAAAACGAGAAAGTATAAATTGGTAACTTTGATTAGCTCCATTCTTATGGTTCCATTATTTGGGCTATTAATTTATTCCCTAGAAATGGGAAGCAAATTATTTGTCACAATTGTAATCGCTCTATTGTGCTTCTTGGTGGCGGGAACTTACCCAATAGGAATGGACTTCATTGTCCAGGCCAATTATCCAATGTCCGAATCAGTTTGTGTCACTCTAATGATGTTTTCTAATCAATTGATCAGTTGGCCAGCGACAGTTTTAGTTTCGTATCTCTTACAATACTACAATTTGTATTATGCTTTCTCTCCGTTTCTATTAATGCTTCTAATTGCTTTGATTACTGTTCTTTTCACCAAAGATCAACTTAATCGAGATAAAGCAAATTCCGATACAGAAAATCTTATAAAAGTAACAGATTAGAATCAGAATCTAGTCAATTGGTCTGTCACGAGTTCTTATTTACAGATTTTGACAGAGGATAAAAATTTCGGTTCACGCATCAAGTATTGGAAGCTCAGTGATAATGATAGTGATAGATCTTCGACATGATGGTGACAGAAAAGGAATTCTGATGATCAATTGAAGACGATTATCAGCCTTCAATCATTTGATTACATCAAATATGAACTGATTCTGTCGGTGGTTCCCTCGGTTTCTCAGTTTTTCAAGGGCAAAACTCGAATAACGCCTCAAATCCTGTTAAAATGTTGGATCGAAACTCGATTAGCTTGATGACGAAAATTGATAATAATTGATCAATACAATAGATTTAAAAAATGATTAAACCGAATGTGTTTCTGTACTTATCTAATCAAGAGCTATTGTTTGTGAGAGTTTTAAAACTTTTATTCTGAGACCGATTGAATATACAATTGTAATTAAAAATGATTAAATCAGATACTAATTAGCATTCATTGATTAAGTTTTAAGAAATTCTTGCTACATTTATTAACAATTTCAACGTTTAATGTAAATCTCTTCAAGTTTAGTTCTTCAACTCATATTAGTGGTCAGTTTTTATAGAAATTATCGAGAGAGAGAGAGAGAGAAGAAAAAGAGGAAAAGAAGATAATTGCTTAAGGAACGGAAAAGGAAAGTGGGTTAATGCCTGAGAAAAGAGAATGGTCAGTTCTTTGTGACCATTCAAACAAGTGGTTCTTTTATTGTGACAGTTTTCATCTTTTAAATTGAATAAATTGTGAATCAAAAATGGATAACAATACAATTTGTGCTCTTCTAATCAACGCTACTCTTTGCTTGATGATTCTTCTTTCTTATTCATTCGCTGATAATTTCGAGCTAAATACCTCGTTGCAAGTGTATGGTACTAATGAAACTATGCATCAAGTACTCGATGTGAGTGTAAAAACTCATAAAAAGTCGATAAATAAAATCGTGAAACATAAGTACCATCGATTAGCAGATAGTTACAATTGGACTTTCGATCGCAGTGATACGTTGCTCTCTGATGAGACTTTGACTGAAATATCCTCATGGGAGATTCTTACTGGTTCAGTTTCTACTGATATTGATAGACATCATCAACTGATATTTGCTTCACTTTATCCTGAACATTTATCAAAAATTGGGCTACCTGATGAACTTAAAAAAATGAACACTATTGACGATAATTATCGACTTCACTTTGGAGAGAATGATGAAGTTTTTGGCTCCGCAAGCACAACTTTACATGATCACATCGAATTATATGAAAATTCAAAAATATCAACTCAGTCGATTGTATTTGAATTTATTGGACGTCAACAAACTGTTGATTATGTTAACAGCGATTTCACTCGACTTTGGTTTCGGACAAAATCTGAAGCATTTATTTCAGAAAATCATTTGGTTCTCATTTCATGGAACGAGTTGGATATTGATAAACGGAATAATTTTCAACGTTTAAGACTTCGAGATACTTTAGGAAGAGAAACATCAGTAACACATGAATATCATCGATGTACAGAAGTTTACCAATCACCGAGGTTGGTGTTTTTGCAGCCGATCGATAGTTCGAGAGGAACCACCGACTATTCTGATCTCTTAGAATGTGCAAATTCATTCTCAATTTTGATGAACATCATTATCGCGACACTTTTACTCGAAATTACAAGAAATGGACTCAATGGACAATATAAATTCAACCAATGATTAAATAATCACTAATCTTTACAATTATTGATAAAAATTCAATTGTGTTTAATTGTATAAATTTGATTATTTTCGATTAAATTAATTTAACTTCGGTCTTTTAATGACTCGATTGAATTCATTCAATTAAATGATTTTTTTTCAACTTTTTCTTTTTCTTTTTATATTAATTATTTTGTTGATGATGTTTATCAGTAATTCTAAGGATAGTCTCTGGCTTAACGGTTTTCAGATCATAAGCTAATCCCAATTTGGACATTAAATCAATGAAAACTTTCGTTGGATTTAATTTCCAACCCAATTCACTGGTCGCATAATCCCATGGAAATGAATGATGGAAGTTGTGAAAACCTTCACCAAAAGCAGCGAAAGAGACGAAATAATTTTCTCGAGCTCCGATTGTCGATCGATATGGTCGATCACCCCACATGTGAGCTGCACTGTTCACGAACCAAGTACAATGCAGGCTAGTCACGTATCGCCAAATTACAGCAATTAGAAGTGATGTCGATATTGATTCAGACCATACATAGACTGGAACAAACCACGGAATCAGAATAATGAAGACAACATAACAAATCGGATAGAATCTGGAAAAGAAAGAAAGAAAGAAAGGCAGAGAGAGAGAGAGAGAGAAGAAGAAAAGATTAATAAACAACCTGTTGATTGTCTCTAGAATAGCAAGAGTAATAACGAACCTTCGATGATATCTCACAATTGGATCATCCATTAGATCGGATAAATCGACTTTCTTTCCATCTTCAATGACCGATGGATGTTTTCGAGTCAACAACCAACCAACATGAGCAAAGAAAAAACCTCTTCGTGAGTTATGTGGATCGCTATCTGTCTCTGAGAATTTATGGTGAACTCGATGATCTCGACACCAAGTTAATAGATCATTTTGACCTGCGATCGAGAAACAACAGGCTAAAAAAAATCGCAACGAAAACTTTGCTTTGTAAGATCGATGAGACCAAAGTCTATGGGCACCAGCAGTCACTCCTAATCCACCAAGGAATCCATACAAATAAGCTGATCCAATGTCATGATGACCAAGACGAAGATGATCAAGATGATGATGGTGGTTGTGGTGGTTGTGATGGTTGTGAGTACCAAAGAAAAGTATACAAGGATGAGGAACAAAGAAAACAGAGAGAAAAAAAAAGAAAATAGAAAATTCAATTAATCCAGTTAATCCACAACACTCAAGTTGCTGTCAGCAAGTCACAGTCACAATTTTCTTAATCCTACTGAGTGTTAATCCTTTTCTTCATTAGGAAAACTGAGAGAGAAACAATCACTAATTGATTGATTCTCTGTTGACATTTGCTTGGCACATTTTAAATTATCAATCAAAAAACATAAAATCGATAATTTAACAATAAACTCACCGAAAATCCAAGTATTCCAAACTCGATCTCGGATCAAAACAATTGTCGCATAAATTGTCAGCAAATGAAGAATCGTAAATACAATAACATTTTTCCAAACGATTCCATAAGAATCTTTGTTAATATAAAGGTAAATTCCAGTGTCACTTGATTTAGTTAATAATTCCTTTGATTGTTGGTTAATTTTATTCACAATTGGATCATTAGGATCGCCGGTGGTCAATGATTTAATGCGACACATTTTAATCAATCAATCACTTTGATTATTTGGTCAAAACAAAAGAAACTTGATCAAGACAATTGATGAGATTTTATGTTGATTTTTTTGATGCTGTTGAAGGAGCTAAAAGTCAACAATTTAATGATCACTTTTATTAAATGAATCACTTTTGGATTAAATTAATTTCTTAGATTGTTGTTGATGAAGAGTAACCTTCACAAATGCACAATGACAAACACTTTGCATTTGTCCAATGACAATTGATGACACAATCAATCAACTAATCACATTAACAAATTAACTTCAACCTCGAGGGTCAACCACTGACTGACCATCATTTCCCTCAAAAACAACCTGTTGATTAGAATCTTATCAATTGCTGGACAATATTTCGAGAAAATAATCACTAAGAGTCGATCCAGAATTTAATTCCAAATCTCGAACCATGGTAATCCAAAGTATCGACGCTCTTAATGATGCTCTTATGTTTTCTCTATCATCCATCATCATCCTAGATAATTATGATCCAGATTAAGAGATTTCTAATAATTATAATTTTTAAATCCTTTTCTTTGGTTAGACCAATAAAAAAGTTCTTCTATTAATTAACATCGTAAATGGGTTGACCCAAGTTACTTTTCTTCCTATTTTCATGGAGTATTTAAAATGAGCGACCACCGAGTCTAAGAATCAATTGACCTCCGACTCTTTACTCTTGACTCTTGACACTTCTCTTCTCTTCTCTTCTCTTTTATTCTTTTTTTTTGTTTTGTTATTTGTTATTCTTTCTCATCAACAATGAAGTTCATTATTCTTTTTGTTCTTTTCTGCGTATTAATCGACACAATCACCTGTTCTCATGGAGAAAAAGTCAAATTAACTATCAAGGAATCTGGAATTTCTGACAAGAAAAAGGCCGAAATCGCTGGTTTCGTTTCTGGTGCAACCGCTGGAGTGGCCAAAGGTATTCTCAAGAAAAAAGTGACCACTTCCAAACAGATCTTCGTTCCTGTCAAAGCAGCCGAACCCAAGTACAAGGTCAAGTACATCTCAGTGGTTAAACCAGTTCTTGTTCGTGAATATCCTCAACCCGATCGAACCCAATATTATGTCAAGACCGAAACCAAAGTGGTTAAAAAGCCCAAGAAATCAATTTTCCCTTTCCTTAAGGGATTCGTCAAAGGAAAATTCATTGGAAAATCAGTTTCCAAAACTTTTGGTTAAATCTCTTTTCTTCTAAACTTAAACTAAATCAAATTGTAAAAATAAATCATTTTCTTCCCTAAACACACTTGTTTTCTCTCTCATTTTTCAAATACGAAAATCGCGCAAATTTTTCTCTTTAAATGGAAAATGCATTCTGAATTCGTTTCCATGGAAACACTTGATAACTTGTTTCTTTTTCATTCATTCATTTCTATTCCAAGTTAATTCAGTTCATCTTTTCTTTTAATTGTTAGCAATTTAATAGATTTCTTTTATTTACGTTCTAGTGTCACTAATTATTCCATCACTTAACTTTCAATTTCATTGCTCTTTAATCATAAAATCGGATTGTTACCTAAGATTCTTTCTTTTCTTTTCCTTACTCTCTCACTTAAATCTCTTTGTTGTCTACATGTATCTTTTTTCCACCTAGTAACACCTCAGCATTTTTCCTCATCATGAATACCCGGTTAACTCTTTTTCTTATCCTTTGTTTGCATCTATTCACATCTCTTGTTTATGCTGCTGATAGATCCAAGTTCAAGACTTGTGAGGAAAGTGGATTTTGTAGGTAAGACTAAACATAATTTTATTTTTCTCTTTTAATTGCTCTCCTAAATCTTGCCACATTTCCTTTGTAATTTTTAGACGAAATCGTAATATCAAAGGAAAACCTAATAAATGGATTTTAGATCATACAACTGTGAAACCAAGTGATAACAAATTAGGATTCGAAGCAATTCTCAAAAATGAGCTTAACGGAGTTCTTCTTCGTCTCACCATCAATGCTGCTTTGCAAGATAGTTCGGTTCTCCATGTGAGAGTCAATGAAGCTCATCCTGGGCGAGAACGATTTGACCCAAGAGAAGCCTTGGTTGAAAACATAGAATACAGTAAAATCAACATAGGAACTGTATCGGATAAAGAGGTTACCCTCACCTTTGGTCCACCTGATGCTGGTCATAAAACTATAATTACTTTCAATCCATTCAGATTTGATATATTCAAAGGTGAACGTTTAGTAGTCAGTGCCAATGCTCGAGAATTTCTTAAATTTGAGCATTTCAGGCAAAAAAGAGTAGATATTCCAGAGGTAAGTTTCTCACCATCTTCTTTCCTTCCCTCCCACTGTGTATAGATTTTCATGTTGGGGAGAAAATCACAGAGAAACATTATCAAGATTAAAACTATTGATTTTTTTTCGTGTCTAAATTTAGGAAGAAAAACCAGAGGAGGAAAAAGATGGCGGTTGGGAAGAGAATTTCAAATCTTTTGTGGACACCAAACCTTATGGGCCAATGTCCGTTGGAATGGACTTTTCATTTGTCGGCTTTGATCATCTTTATGGGCTACCAGAACACGCTGATACATTCTCATTGAAAAATACTCGAGGCACAACTGATCCTTTCCGTTTTTACAATGTTGACATTTTCGAGTACGAACTTAATAATGGAATGGCCCTTTATGGAGCTATACCCTTTATGATGGCTCATGCAGCTGATCATACAGTTGGTTTACTTTGGTTAAATCCTTCGGAAACTTGGGTTGACATTGAATCTTCTAATCAAGGTGTTAGAGGTTTATTTTCACATTTAGTAGCCGGTGAGGTTAAAAGTCGGTTGACTCATTGGTTCTCAGAAACTGGTCTCATCGATGTCTGGATAATGTTAGGTCCTAGTCCACTTGACGTAATCAGACAAAACGCAAAGATCACTGGTACTCTTGAATTACCACCATACTATGCGATCGGTTATCATCAATGTCGATGGAACTATTTTAGTCAAGAAGAATTAAATGAAGTTGAAAGGCAATGCGATGCCAATGACCTTCCTCTTGATGTTCTTTGGTTAGATATTGAATATACTGAAGGTAATTTATCATAACCAGTCTCTTTCTCTCTTTCTCTCTTACCCTCTTTCATTTTTATCTAATTATTGATTTTTTTCTCTTTCTCTCTAGGACGATCCAAAAAATATTTCACCTGGGATCCAGTCATGTTTTCTGACCCTAAAAGCCTTGTCAGTAATTTAACAAGCAAGGGAAGACAATTAGTTACCATTATTGATCCACATATAAAAAAAGATACTAATTATCCAATCTACAATGAGGCTACACAAAATAATTATTTCACCAAAACAAAAGAAGGTAATGATTATGAAGGATATTGTTGGCCTGGTCCTGCTTTGTATCCCGATTTCCTTAATCCAACTGTCAGAGAATGGTGGTCAAGTAAATTTAATCCAGAATTTTTCCCTGGATTTACTGACGGAAATGTTGGTATATGGAATGATATGAATGAACCGAGTGTATTCAACGGACCAGAAATGACAGCACCACGAGATGTTGTTCATATCAATGGAATTGAACATCGTGATATTCACAATATGTAAGTTATTAATCTTTTTTTTTGCAAATCTGAAGAATTAATATTTAGTTTTAATTATTCAATTTTCTATTAATTTCCTCAGGTATGGTTTCTTAGTTACTAAAGCCACGCACAAAGGTTTAATAACTTATTCGCCTAATCATCGTCCATTTATCTTGACCCGGTCATTTTTTGTTGGATCACAACGATATGCTATGGTTTGGACTGGTGATAATATGGCTAAATGGGATCATCTTAAGATGAGTGTTCCAATGATCCTTTCTCTTGGAATCTCTGGAATGGCCTTTTCTGGTGCCGATGCTCCAGGCTTTTTCTATGATCCTGAATCGACTGAATTAGTTGTTCGTTGGTATCAAACCGCCGCTTTTCAACCTTTCTATCGGGCTCATGCTCACCTTGATACTAAACACCGAGAGCCTTATCTTTATGATGAAGAAACAAAAAATCATATCAGAGCAGCAACAAGAGCTCGTTATGCTTACCTACCTTATATTTATACCCTTTTCTATGAAGCATCAATCAATGGTACACCAATCATGCGTCCACTTTGGCTTCATTTTCCTAAAGATACAAAAACTTTCGATCTGGAAGAAGAGTATCTCTTGGGTAAGCAATAGTTTTCTTTCATTCTTGCAGAAAAAGTTTACTCACAATTGAAATTCTTTTCTCATTCACTATTCAATAGGAGACGCACTTCTCATCAGACCGGTATTGGACAAAGAAGTCACTTCTGTAAATGTTTACTTCCCAGGAGAAGGTGAATCATGGCTCGGTATTGAAGATGATACAGTTTACCAAGGTGGATCAAGTGTTGATATTCCAGTAACATTAGGATCAATACCGAGATTCCAACGAGCTGGAACAATAATTCCCAAGCGTGAGAGGATGAGAAGAAGTTGCTCACTAACTTTAAATGATCCATTGACTTTGCAAATATTCTTGGACGCTGAAGAGAGACACGCTGAGGGTAGATTATACCTCGATGATGGATCAAGTTACAGTTATAAATCTGGGGGATACATTCTTGCAGAAATTGTCTACGATAAAATGGTTCTATCTTACAAGTAAGTTTCAATGTTTTGTTTTGTGACTATTTTATATTGATGGTAATTATTTTCCAACTTCTTTTAGAATAATCCATGGAAGTTTCCCAACAAACAGTTGGTTGGAACGAGTTATAATCCATAGGATCTCAAATAAGCCCAACAAAATAGAAGCGACCAGTGGGGCCAATCTAAGCTTCAAATTTAATCCTTCAAGCCAAACACTTATTATCAGAAAACCGGGTTTATCAATGGGAGACTCATGGCAAATTAGATTGAGTTAAAATTGAAACAATCATGGATGGAAAATATTTAAGCTATTACGATGTTTTGATGAAGAAAATCTGATGATGGGTTAATTACTGATTCTCTGATAATCCCATTTATCATTCCATCTGTACATTTTTGATTACTGTGAAGAGAATCAATTATCCAATTATTTTAAATTGATGAAGTTTTTTTAATGATTAAGAAAATCATAATGAGAATAATATAAAAATTAAGAATGAGAGACAACAAGTGTGTTTAGGGAAGAAAGTGATTTATTTTTACAATTTGATTTAGTTTAAGTTTAGAAGAAAAGAGATTTAACCAAAAGTTTTGGAAACTGATTTTCCAATGAATTTTCCTTTGACGAATCCCTTAAGGAAAGGGAAAATTGATTTCTTGGGCTTTTTAACCACTTTGGTTTCGGTCTTGACATAATATTGGGTTCGATCGGGTTGAGGATATTCACGAACAAGAACTGGTTTAACCACTGAGATGTACTTGACCTTGTACTTGGGTTCGGCCGCTTTGACAGGAACAAAGATCTGTTTGGAAGTGGTCACTTTTTTCTTGAGAATACCTTTGGCCACTCCAGCGGTTGCACCAGAAACGAAACCAGCGATTTCGGCCTTTTTCTTGTCAGAAATTCCAGATTCCTTGATAGTTAATTTGACTTTTTCTCCATGAGAACAGGTGATTGTGTCGATTAATACGCAGAAAAGAACAAAAAGAATAATGAACTTCATTGTTGATGAGAAAGAATAACAAATAACAAAACAAAAAAAGAGTAGAAGAGAAAAAAGAGAAAGAGAAAGAAACAGAAGTGTCAAGAGTCAAGAGTCGGAGGTCAATTGATTCTTAGACTCGGTGGTTGCTCATTTTAAATACTCCATGAAAATAGGAAGAAAAGTAACTTGGGTCAACCCATTTACGATGTTAATTAATAGAAGAACTTTTTTATTGGTCTAACCAAAGAAAAGGATTTAAAAATTATAATTATTAGAAATCTCTTAATCTGGATCATAATTATCTAGGATGATGATGGATGATAGAGAAAACATAAGAGCATCATTAAGAGCGTCGATACTTTGGATTACCATGGTTCGAGATTTGGAATTAAATTCTGGATCGACTCTTAGTGATTATTTTCTCGAAATATTGTCCAGCAATTGATAAGATTCTAATCAACAGGTTGTTTTTGAGGGAAATGATGGTCAGTCAGTGGTTGACCCTCGAGGTTGAAGTTAATTTGTTAATGTGATTAGTTGATTGATTGTGTCATCAATTGTCATTGGACAAATGCAAAGTGTTTGTCATTGTGCATTTGTGAAGGTGACTCTTCATCAACAACAATCTAAAAAATTAATTTAATCCAAAAGTGATTCATTTAATAAAAGTGATCATTTAATTGTTGACTTTTAGCTCCTTCAACAGCATCAAAAAATCAACATAAAATCTCATCAATTGTCTTGATCAAGTTTCTTTTGTTTTGACCAAATAATCAAAGTGATTGATTGATTAAAATGTGTCGCATTAAATCATTGACCACCGGCGATCCTAATGATCCAATTGTGAATAAAATTAACCAACAATCAAAGGAATTGTTAACTAAATCAAGTGACAGTGGAATTTACCTTTATATTAACAAAGATTCTTATGGAATCGTTTGGAAAAATGTTATTGTATTTACGATTCTTCATTTGCTGACAATTTATGCGACAATTGTTTTGATCCGAGATCGAGTTTGGAATACTTGGATTTTCGGTGAGTTTATTGTTAAATTATCGATTTTATGTTTTTTGATTGATAATTTAAAGTGTGCCAAGCAAATGTCAACAGAGAATCAATCAATTAGTGATTGTTTCTCTCTCAGTTTTCCTAATGAAGAAAAGGATTAACACTCAGTAGGATTAAGAAAATTGTGACTGTGACTTGCTGACAGCAACTTGAGTGTTGTGGATTAACTGGATTAATTGAATTTTCTATTTTCTATTTTCTTCTTTTTCTGTTTTCTTTATTCCTCATCCCTTGTTTACTTTTCTTTGGTACTCACAACCACCATCATCCTCATCTTGATCATCTTCGTCTTGGTCATCATGACATTGGATCAGCTTATTTGTATGGATTCCTTGGTGGATTAGGAGTGACTGCTGGTGCCCATAGACTTTGGTCTCATCGATCTTACAAAGCAAAGTTTTCGTTGCGACTGTTTTTAGCCTGTTGTTTCTCGATCGCAGGTCAAAATGATCTATTAACTTGGTGTCGAGATCATCGAGTTCACCATAAATTCTCAGAGACAGATAGTGATCCACATAATTCACGAAGAGGTTTTTTCTTTGCTCATGTTGGTTGGTTGTTGACTCGAAAACATCCATCGGTCATTGCAGATGGAAAGAAAGTCGATTTATCCGATCTAATGGATGATCCAATTGTGAGATATCACCGAAGGTTCGTTATTACTCATGCTATTCTAGAGACAATCAACAGGTTGTTTATTAATCTTTTTCTTCTTCTTCTCTCTCTCTCTCTCTCTCTCTCTTTCTTTCTTTCTTTCTTTCTCTCTTTTCCAGATTCTATCCGATTTGTTATGTTGTCTTCATTATTCTGATTCCGTGGTTTGTTCCAGTCTGTGTATGGTCTGAATCAATATCGACATCACTTCTAATTGCTGTAATTTGGCGATATGTGACTAGTCTGCATTGTACTTGGTTCGTGAACAGTGCAGCTCACATGTGGGGTGATCGACCATATCGATCGACAATCGGAGCTCGAGAAAATTATTTCGTCTCTTTCGCTGCTTTTGGTGAAGGTTTTCACAACTTCCATCATTCATTTCCATGGGATTATGCGACCAGTGAATTGGGTTGGAAGTTAAATCCAACGAAAGTTTTCATTGATTTAATGTCCAAATTGGGATTAGCTTATGATCTGAAAACCGTTAAGCCAGAGACGATCCTTAGAATTACTGATAAACATCATCAACAAAAATAATTAATATAAAAAGAAAAAGAAAAAGTTGAAAAAATCATTTAATTGAATGAATTCAATCGAGTCATTAAAAGACCGAAGTTAAATTAATTTAATCGAAAATTTATACAATTAAACACAATTGAATTTTTATCAATAATTGTAAAGATTAGTGATGATTTAATCATTGGTTGAATTTATATTGTCCATTGAGTCCATTTCTTGTAATTTCGAGTAAAAGTGTCGCGATAATGATGTTCATCAAAAGTGAGAATGAATTCGCACATTCTAAGAGATCAGAATAGTCGGTGGTTCCTCTCGAACTATCGATCGGCTGTAAAAAGACCAATCTCGGTGATTGATAAACTCTTGCGACTCGATCAACCGCTCTACGTCTCACCGATGTTTCTCTTCCTAAAGTATCTCGAAGTCTTAAACGTTGAAAATTATTCCGTTTATCAATATCCAACTCGTTCCATGAAATGAGAACCAAATGATTTTCTGAAATAAATGCTTCAGATTTTGTTCGAAACCAAAGTCGAGTGAAATCGCGGTTAACATAATCAACAGTTTGTTGACGTCCAATAAATTCTAATACAATCGACTGAGTTGATACTTTTGAATTTTCATACAATTCAATTTGATCATGTAAAGTTGTGCTTGCGGAGCCAAAAACTTGATCATTTTCTCCAAAGTGAAGTCGATAATTATCGTCAATAGTGTTCCTTTTTTTAAGTTCATCAGGTAGTCCGATTTTTGATAAATGTTCGGGATAAAGTGAAGCCAATATTAGTTGATGATGTCTATCAATATCAGTAGAAACTGAACCAGTAAGAATCTCCCATGAGGATATTTCAGTCGAAGTCTGATCAGAGAGCAACGCATCACTACGATCGAAAGTCCAATTGTAACTATCTGCTAATTTATGGTACTCATGTTTCACGATTTTATTTATCGACTTTTTATGAGTTTTTACAGTCACATCGAGTTCTTGAAAGGTGCTTTTCACTTGCGACGAGGTATTTAGCTCGAAATTATCAGCGAATGAATAAGAAAGAAGAATCATCAAGCAAAGAGTAGCGTTGATTAGAAGAGCACAAATTGTATTGTTATCCATTTTGTATTCACAATTTATTCAATTTAAAAGATGAAACTGTCACAATAAAAGAACCACTTGTTTGAATGGTCAGAGAGAACTGACCATTCTCTTCTCTAAGGCATAGGTCCACTTTCCTTTTCCGTTTTCTACAGCAATTATCTTCTTTTCCCTCTTTTCTTCTTCTTCTTTCTTTTTCTTTCTCTCTTTCTTTCTTTCTTTTTTCAGATTCTATCCGATTTGTTGTTGTAAATTAAATGCAACAGAAGTTGTCATTGATTTAATGTCCAAATTGGGATTAGCTTATGATCTGAAAACCGTTAAGCCAGAGACTATCCTTAGAATTACTGATAAACATCATCAACAAAAATAATTAATATAAAAAGAAAAAGAAAAAGTTGAAAAAAAATCATTTAATTGAATGAATTCAATCGAGTCATTAAAAGACCGAAGTTAAATTAATTTAATCGAAAATAATCAAATTTATACAATTAAACACAATTGAATTTTTATCAATAATCGTAAAGATTAGTGATGATTTAATCATTGTTGAATTTTATTGTCCATTGAGTCCATTTCTTGTAATTTCGAGTAAAAGTGTCGCGATGATAATGTTCATCAAAAGAGAGAATGAATTTAACCAAAAGTTTTGGAAACTGATTTTCCAATGAATTTTCCTTTGACGAATCCTTAAGGAAAGGGAAAATTGATTTCTTGGGTTTTTAACCACTTTGGTTTCGGTCTTGACATAATATTGGGTTCGATCGGGTTGAGGATATTCACGAACAAGAACTGGTTTAACCACTGAGATGTACTTGACCTTGTACTTGGGTTCGGCTGCTTTGACAGGAACGAAGATCTGTTTGGAAGTGGTCACTTTTTTCTTGAGAATACCTTTGGCCACTCCAGCGGTTGCACCAGAAACGAAACCAGCGATTTCGGCCTTTTTCTTGTCAGAAATTCCAGATTCCTTGATAGTTAATTTAACTTTTTCTCCATGAGAACAGGTGATTGTGTCGATTAATACGCAGAAAAGGACAAAAAGAATAATGAACTTCATTGTTGACGAGAAAGAATAACAAGTACTAGAAACAGAAAAAATATAAAAGAAAAGTGTCAAGAGTCGGAGGTCAATTGATTCTTAGACTCGGTGGTCACTCCATTTAAATACTACACGAAAAAGAGAGAAGAAATGAAGAAAAGTAATTTGGGTCAACCCATTCATGATGTTAATTCTTAGAACTTTTTTATTGGTTTAAATCCATTGCTCACACACACAAAGTTTTTAAAATTATAATTATTAGAAATCTCTTAATTGATAGTAGTTAAAGACAATTTTCATCTTAAATCTGGATCACAATCTTCTAGAAATGGATGAGAGAGACAATCAGAAGCCTTGGCACGTTTATCTGGATCATATTCCAACATCGGCTTAAGAAAATCCGTAAACTCTTGGGCTACATTCGATTCCCATTTATATTTCTGAGTTAATACTTCATAAAGTCCCCATGGTTTAAAAGCCATAATGCTTTTCAATTGACCTTAAATACAACGGAAACAAAAATATTAATATAAATCATCGTATAAATCACATAAATGAGAAAATTTCTCTTTCCATATTCACTGAATTTACCTCGTCGATTGAAAAAATCTTTGGAATAAGTACCAGCGAGCGCAATATGACGAGGAATTTCACCTAAAAGTTCAATTATATGAGCTAAATGATCTTCATCTCGATTATAATCTTGTCCAGAATGAGGTTCGAATAAATAATCGCCAGTGGCCAATTCGAATGCCATACAAGCGGTACTCCAAATGTCCGCTGGTGCCGAATAGCCTGAACCAAGAATCACTTCCAGGCATCGATATTGTCTCGTTTGAATATCTTCAGTGAAATGATGATCCTGTTAGAAAGATCAATTAGTTAATCATGACAATTAATATCAACTTGTGAGAGTTAATTGTTACTCACAATCCAACAAGCATTACCAAGATCTGCTATTTTTACTTTGATATCACAAACTTCATTAGCTGGATCAGGCACTGATTTTTGATTGTCTGTTTGAATGAATAGAAACCAAATTAAAGTTAATTTTCAGATCAAGTTAATGGTTATTTGAGTTAATCATCTTACCAGGACATGAAACTGCTCGTCTCATAATTGTCCTGTTTTTGTTAATTGTGTTCTTAACATTTGATTCACTTGTGATCAGGGTAACATCATGTTGATCAATTTGATCTTTAGGAGCTGTACAGATTAATGATCCAGGTAATTTAATCCCTAATTTGTGTAATTGTGTTGCTTCAATGGCCAATCGACGGATATAAGATTCATCAACTTCGATTAAAATATTTTCCGGTTTAATATCGGTGTGGATTATTTGACATTTTGAATGGAGATAATCTAATCCTTGAAGAACCTATTCCAATCCATAAAAAAAGAAAGTGAGACAATTAAATCAACATTCTAATCAAATTGATCGAAAGTAATTTGATCAAACAATCAACTAGAATTAGACTTTGAAAATATTTCATCAGATAATCAAAAAGCTTCACAACTAATCCTCAGAATTGAAAAGATGCTTAAAATTAATCCGAAAAGTTTTGGAAGGCAAATACAAGGGATTAAGATTCTAATCAGTAGGTCAAGTAAATTCCAGTGACTTTTTGACCTTTCACTGAATTTACATGAATATAGAGATAGGAAATTAACATGGAAAGACTGAGTTTTCTCAATACAATCAAAATATTGCTCTGGATCTTGATTACAATTAGAAAATTTAATTTTCTCACTTACCTGTTTAATTATGGACTTGACATTTTGAAGAGGAATCCCTTCGTAATTTGAGCGAATGATCAATTTCAATAGATTCTGGCCAAGAACTTCAAAAACCATACAAACATCTACAAGAAAATTGAAAATTAATCAATCAATTAATCAACAATTTTCTATTTCTCTCTAAATGAGAATCAGTTGTTGGAAATTAAATTTGGCGCCTTTCTAATTTTCGCTCTCATTGTTACATGTAAACAAAGCTTCGGTGTTTTTGTTTTTAATTGTTCAACAATAATTGTTGATTAAATTTGAATCTGTGATTAATCACTTACGTGTTCCATTGACTCCATTGATTCTGAAATCATCTAAAAGCTGAACAACCTTATTCTTAAATGGATCATTGGGTTCACCTTCACGAACCTAAAACCGATAAAGAAAAAAAAAGAAATGATAATTGATTGGAAACCAAATGATTACGTTTCTATCCTAATTTGTTTCACAGTAAATTGGATCATCAATAATTTCAATTTTGAAATGGAATTACATTTTTAAGCAACTTAATCTCATCCAAAGCCGTTTCCGTGTAATGATTAGCACTTTTGACAACCTTTAAAGCAACAAAACGTTTCATCCTGAAAAGTTGAATGGAAAACACTGCAATTAGATCTTGGATCCTTCTCAAACAACAAGTGGTTCAAATTGTTTTCATCATAGAAACATGGATAATATAATTACACTAAATCCCAACACAACCAGACAGTTGAAAAGTGTCCCCATCCAAGTTTCCTAATCACATGGTAACGGGCATTGAAAACATCGCCAATTTTAATGGGATGATAACCACCTCTGGTATAATCAGCTGGATCTTCCTGTTCATCCCAATCTGATCCACCGGCATCTTCATCATCATAATCACCTCCAGTTTCATTATCGTTGACTGGATGTCGATTAGCAATCGCTGGTCCTGTTGAGGGTCTAAAATTAATCCACAAAGAGGAAGTTAATTTACTATTTATCGATTGACAATTGAAAACATAATGAGATGAAAATTGGTATTTTCCTCAAGAATATCAAGAAATCGGATATTGTAAATCTCATTTCAAATTAAGAGGAAATCAAACACCGAATAATAATATAATAATCAACTGATTATCAAGTAAAATTATTCTCTTCTGGTTAAGTAATTTATTTACATTGGATCAACAATATCGAGGAACCACAAACTCACCTTACATCCCAATCAAGCCATTCGGATGAAAAATGATCCCATCCCAATTTACGGATTGCTTTTTGGCGACCATTTAATATCTCACCCAAATGGATTGAATTATAATCAGATTTATTACCATAATCAACGATGGGTTCATGTCTATCAGCATTATCATCATCATCTGGATCAATTATCTGATCAATATTATTACCGTTTTCATTATCATGTTGATCATCAGCTCGTTGTCTCCTTTTATTGTTTATTGATTCTCTTGGTTCAGAACTTTAAAGTAAACAAGACGAATAGTAATCAAACTTAATCATTAATCATCACTCTTTCCCATGGAAATCAATACTCAAGAAAGTAAATCAAAGATTCAAAACAATTAGCAACAATCATCAAGACAAATCAACATGTGGGTAACACGATAATTCAGAGAGGAACCAGAATTATGGATATTAATTGGAATTAAATCTGAAAAAAATCATCATAAGATTATAACCAAATTGAATGACAATTACCTTTGATTATCAAAGATGGGAAACAATTAAAATTAATGCTAATGATTCATATACTTGGCCTGGAAATTTGTAAATTGAAACCCAAGAAATGATTAACTTTCATTCAATGATTAATGATGATTATACCGTAATTGTGGATACTCAAGAAACAAGATTGTTACAAGAAACCATAATAAGTGGTAACAATCAGAAAAGATAATCAAAATTAATTAAAATGATTGTCAAATCTTCATTACACCTGATTATTAAGATGATTAATTAATTGCTTGAGTAAAAAAAAAGTTAAAGACGAAGACAAGAAATTGATTCAAGTTGTTGATTAACAACAATTAATCAAATTTGAAAGGATTATAAATTTTTTTAACTGATTGTTAATCAAGTTGATTTGGATGAAATTAAATCAGCAATTGATGATAACTTTAACCACATATTCAAGGCTAATTGGTTTGTTTAAATTTCCGGAAATTAAATCATAAGCATCATTAGGATTGTTATGATAACTAAATTATCATAAATGGTGATGGTAAATTAAGTTAAGGCCTTAAGGAAACTAATCAAAGTAATCAAGTTTTCGTTGAAATAATTAACTAACAATCAAGATGAATGACCCAGGTAAATAGATTAACCTGATCCTCTTCCTGATTGTGTAGGCTGATTAGTGGGTAAATTTAAATCAAGATGATCAAGAAAAAAATTTTCACTCATTGAAAATCAAAACAAAATCAAACAATTAATCAACAATTAAAAGCATTATCAATGTAAGCGACTAAATTGTTGACACCAATTTTTCAAAGTCCAAATGATTTAACTAAATTTATTTCATTCCAAATCAAATAAGGTTAATATAATTGATCAATGAAAGATAATCAAATTATTCCTTAATTAATGAAAATTGTAAATTTAACCTTCAAAAAGGTTGAACAATTTACTAAATCATATCAAAATACAATCAATTGATTGCACTACAAATCAGATAATCATAAAGTGTATATTATTAGATTGCAACTAATCAATTTCAAAAGTGATTAAATTGTTGATTTGTTTTTCTGCTCACTCTTTTTATGGTTTAATTAAATTAAATGTTACAATTAAACGAAAAAAAAAACTTAATTGTGTAGGATTCAACAATCCAATTTATGGATCTGATTAATTTAATTATAAATGGTTGATTGTTAACTCACTCATTTAATTGTGATTATAATTGAATTACTCAAGTATTGGCTATTATGGTCAAATGAAAATGATTCAAATTAATAAATTGTTCAACTGATTAGTTGACTAAAAAACAATCAACAATTGCTTGGTAATATTTGAATAAACAAACAACACAAAAGTGAATTAAGTTAATTTAGTTTCTGTATGTAAACATTTACCATTGATAACTATCAAGTAACGATTCACAATCAACAAACAATTGTAACAATTAGTGGATTATTAATTGTAAACATAATAACCTATGTAAAGTTAATTGAAGTGTAATAATAAAACTGATAAACATTTAAATTGTTACATTATTTGCTTTGGATTGAAATAGTTAATTTGTCACAATTTGATGATTACACCTTGATGATCATGATGATTTGCTGGGGAAGTTAATTTGATTAAATTGTGTCAAATTGTCTGGTTTCTGAATTTAGATTAATCATTAATCTGTATTTTTCTTTCCGGATGAAATGGGTTAAAATAATAAAAAGAAACTGGTTCACAATTAAGTTGATCATGTTTACTAAACCAAATCCAATGGAATCAAATGAGTTTCCTCTTAATCGTAAATACGTTTCATTTTTAACCATCAAGGTAATTAAAAGGTGATTCTCATTGATTATTGTACCGAGAATAATGTTAATCATTTCAATTGGATTTCGATCAAAGGTTAAAAGTGATCAGAAAACTTTTAGTGTTTTGTCCTTTTGTTTACCATCAGGAATCGATGAGAGTAACAATCGATATTTATTGATGGTGGATGAAGGTGATGATGAAGAAGATAATGTTTACTTTTGTCATCTTCTCCCTGAAGATGAGCAAAACAATAGAATGATGATGAAATTCAGAGAGAGAGAGAGAGAGAGAGAAAATATATTTTCCTGGTTTATTTTTCCTCTCTCTCTTTGTTATTGTTTATTTTCTCGTGTCATCATCTCAATCCATTGAAACTGAAACATCATGAGGTTAACAACCAAATACTATCTTCATGTTACTCATCATGAATGAAATAGATGATACATTTACCTATGGAAGATAAATATTAGAAATAAAGAAAGAAAGAGAGAGAGAAGCTTAAAAAGTAGTACAACCCTTTATCTTATCCGCTTTCTCTTTCTCTTTCTTTTTTCGCCATCTTGGGTTTGGCTTCTGTTCCAATATTTCCTGGGTCCATTAACCTTATCATCATTATCATGAAGCATCAAGGTGTCCACCACCCACTCTCTCATCTTCCCTCATCCTCCCTCACTTTTATCTCCATCAACATAAAGGCCTTTTACCCTTCTCTCTCTCTCTCTCTCTCTTTCTCCTTCATCACTTGAGATGCTTTTACCGTTACACCAGAATTACGTAACATCATCAATGAAGATTCCCATCAAAACACGACCACTTAATGAAAACTTTATAAAAATGACGGAATAATAATAAGTGACAACTAACTAATTGTTAGAATGTAACTGTAAATATTAATGATACGAAATCAGAGGAAACAAAGAATCAAAATCGTAAGGAAAAAACTTCCAATTGTATTAATTTCACCCCTTTGAAAATGTAAAAAAAATCATTTTTTCTTGTCATTAACTTAACCAATTTTGTTTCCTCACTTTAATCAACTGTCTAATTGTAATTAACCCTCTTCAAATTCATCAACCATTGTTTAAATCAATCAAATGTTTACACTTTTACCATAACTCATTACAAAGGAAATTAATTTCTAAATTTAGTTTTGATAAAATTGCCAATTTCTGTTTCCTCAATCAAACACAAAATTTTGACTCAAGTGATGGTAATTGTTTCTGATTTTAATCAATTAACTAAATTAACTTTGATTCAATTTGCTAATCACATTTTTCATACATTTAAGTTTCCCTTGTTTTCTTCAATTGAACATCACCCCTACAATCAAACACCACAATTTAATTTCTATCAATATCTAATATGTTAAATTGATTGTTTTCTTTAATAGTGAAAATTAACCTTGAATTTCAACTTGATCAATTAGAGGTTTCTCTTAATAGATTAACCCAAGAAATTAACAATCCATTGAGATATAGAGAGAAATGAAGAAGACCAACCTGAACAATTACTATTCCTAACATCAAGGTTCAATTATCAATCGATTTTAAATTGTTGATTACATCGGATCATCGAGATAATTAACTTACCTGTTCAGTTGTTAATTTACATGTGTGGAAAATAATAGAAACAACAACAAGAAAATTCATCGAAACCTTGAACATTTGATTAGGAATCAAAGTGAGAATTACAATTTTCACTCATTCGATTATCATTTATGTTCAAATTTTTGGTTAGTTAATTGTTACCAATTAAGGATAATTCAGAAACTGAGCCAGTTACCAAGTCCCTACACAATTACTCATCTAAATGGAAAAGTATTAATGGTAAATCTAATTGTTATTTGCGTGGACAGTTGATTAACTAAATTAGCAAAATTAGTGTAAAAATTAATCTAAACAAATCAACTGATCAGTTAGATTAATTTACTTTCTTAAAACGGCAAACTTATATTGACATGTAGGTAGTTAACTTGATGATATGATTAATTATAACCTTTGGTTTGTGTCTTAATTGTTACTAATTACTGTTTGTTTCTTTGATTTTTTCATGTCTCAGAAAATATGAATAAAAAAATCAACAAATTACCTGTAAATTGTAGGCACAGGTAAAAGTCCATAAAGTCCTTTAGGTTTGGTTATATTTGCTTTTGTATTTGCTGAGGATGAAGATGAAGATGAGGATGAGTTTCGATGTTGAATTGAATAGTCAACATCATGATGGTGATGTCGAGGTTGTTGATGTTGGTGGTGGTGGTGTTGAGGTGGTGCATGTTGTTGGTAATGAGATATCGATGATGATTCAGATTCTTGATCTGAAAAAGATGAGCCAGGAGTTGGTGTTCGATCAGAAATGGCCGAAGATCGAACCAAACCCGAATGGTTCGAGGATCTTTCCAACCTATCAGAGTGATACTGATGATGGGAAGATGGAGGATAATGATGATGTGTATGAGAATAATCATCAGAATCAAAGGCATTCGCTAATGAAGATGCACCATTATTAGCGGTGTTATTGGTACCAAGGCCAAGAGTTGATTCGTGCAATGAGATTCGTTGGACTGATGGCATTTCCGGTTTATATGGATATCGAGGTGATGTTGGTGACAGTTGATGTAGGTGCGGATGATGATGATGAGGTTCAGGTGTATTCTGATGATGACGATAAGGATGATAACTGTTATAATGGTGCGATGAAGTTGACGGTGAATGGTGAGTATTTAACTGTTGATTTAATGATGAATTTGGATGTAAACTATTAGGTGATTTTAATTGTTGTTGTTGGTGATGTTTTGAGTAGGGATATTGACGATTATTGAATGTTGATCCTGTTTGATTTGTGTTTGGTGATGAATAAAATTGTTGATGGTCAGTATATTGTTGACCAACTACAGGTAGAAGACGCTTTGATTGTCTTTGTTGGGGACGGCGGGGATTTGAAGGCGATGGTGATAAACTTTGGTCAATTGAATCACAAGAAGATGAAAGGCTTAACCTGCGGTTGGTGTTGTTGTTGAGGTTTTTACTATTATCTTCGTCCTCGTTTTCGTCTTCGTCTTCGTCCTCGTCCTCGTCACTTGTTACTACTCTTTGACGGTAACTATTAACTTCACGACGATGAGCACTTTGATTTCTTGCTGGTCTCACGATGATATGAGTATCATCCGAATCAGGTACAACCTCTGAAACAATAAGAAACACACAAACAATTAAGTTAATTGTGGAACTGATAACAAGATTGAACAAAAACTGGATGAAGATGAAGATGAGAAGGAAGGAGAAAATTTTTTCTTTAAGGAAGATGATTATTCTTACTCTGATTATAATCAAGGTTGATTGTTGTAAGATGATTAAATTTCAAACGATTAAAGGTGAGATTGTGTTAATATCTCAAAATCCGAATCATAAACTTGATCAATAAATAAAAAAAAGATGATGATAATAAGCAAGAGGTTCACTTATCCTCCTCTTTATTTATCTTCCTCTCACTTACTCACTCTCTTTCTTTACTTTCTTTGCAAAAAGAAAGAGCAAAATTTACAGTTACTTTTAGTTCGGGTACTATCACTATCTCAATATAAGATGAAACTGGTTAATAAACAGTTACATTTACTGTTTAATGTTAATGATGATGATAAGTGAGAGAGAGAGAGAGAGAGAGAGAGAGAGAGAGAAAGGTAGAAAGAGGATGACTAACTCTTCCTCTTCATCATCATCCTCATCATCTTTTCCCTCTGTCTTTTCCTCTCAACCTCATGAAAAGTTCATTGACATTGTTGAGGTTTTTTCATGAAGACTATTGAATCTTATTCATGAACAACATGATATTCATGATGTAATATTAGTAGTAGTTCATGATTGCAGTTTATGATCATCATTATCAAAGGAAAACTAATTTAATTAGTTGATTGTTATTTTTTCTCATTGCAATTATTTTTCTCATTAATGTATCATATCAATCAACTTGAATCTTAATTGTTGCATGAGTTTTTCAGTTTAATTTCTGCAATTTAACCTTGATTTTGTGTAGGTATAATATTTTCCTAGCTAATGTATTAATTGTTAGCTTCAGTTTTGTCTATGGTGAATAATTATTTACTATTAGTCAGTGTGTAAGTATTGACAATTTGACAACAATCAAACAGTAATTGTTACTAATCAATCACTTTCATTGACTTTTATTTCAATTTTAGTTTTCGTAGGTGAAAAGTAATCAACTTTACATTAGCAAATTGAAAGGAAAGTTGATTGAACGTTGACTGAAAGTAAATTGTTGACAATTAAACTTGTATTTTGTTCAGTTTGCTATAAAAAAAAGAGCCAATCCCACCAATAACAATCAAAATACAATTAAGATGATAAATCAAATCGTGATAAATGAAATTACCCTCAATCAAATTGATGATGAACAAGAAACAAAAGTTCAATATTAAAGCTCATTCATTACCATGAACCGGGAAATCCCCATGTAAAGCTCAAGATTCAAAATCAATACTAAATATTCACTGAGGTGAACTTATAAATCTTAATTCAATCAATAATCATCTTCGTAATCATAATCCACCCCATGGAGATTAAATAATGAGAAACAATCAAATCTCATGAGAGATTAGATATGCAAAGGCGTTGGAATAATGGTTAACCATACAATTAACGTTTAACAATTAAAAACATTGTAAAATATTTGAATCACAATCAAGGTTGTAAATTAATGTTACACTAATTTAAATGATTGATTTCGAGATACCTTCAGGTGATCAACCATCATTCTGATTGAGTTTAAAAATGAACAAACTTTTACCTCAATTTTCCCATGAACTTTTTTTTTACATCGAAAAAAAAAGTTCCAAGTAAATATTCATCATGAATAATAACATGAATTTCAAGATTGAATAAAAGTAATGGCATAACATGGGAAAGGTAATCAAATAGGTAAGAGGAAACTTTTCCCACCATCGACATATAAGTGATACAGAATTTTTTTCATCCTGAACAGTAAGAGGAAAAAAAGTTCATTCAGACTCACAGGTAAGTGAAAATATCAATTATGTTAACATTTCATGGAAATGAAGAAAAATTCAATTTCTTCAAGATTAGAATAATTTACCAGGTAGATTATGTGATCACGAGAGGGAAAAGAAACCAAGTTATTAATTGATTGTGAGGCAATTGAATTTTCATCAGTCCCAATCAATTCTCACTCCCAATTCCAATCGATTTATTGTCTATCTTTGATATCGATACAAATGTATAAAGGTCATTAGGTTGTGATTATTTCCATTCACCTCCAACTACCAGCATCCACTATTTTGGTTCATCATGATGAAGATAATTATGAGGATGAACAATCATCGCACAGATCAATGGACCATCGTAATGAAATAATAGTTTTTTCTTCTTTCTTTTTCTTCAAAAAGTTCCAATCGAAAGATTCAGTTACCTTGATAGTTACCATGAAGATCAACATCAGCTCACCCACTTCCCACCTACCATTCGTCTTCATTATTATCATCACCAGTGGAAAAGTCATCCTCATGATACTGAAGATGAAGATAATCATTGGAAAAGAAATGGAAAAAATATTTTCTTTTTTTCTTTTCCATACAAATGTTACTCTTTTCATCATCTTCATGATGATTCTGCTGAGCATCATCTTCCTATTATCAGAATTTCTCATCTTCTTTGTCTATTATCATCGTAATTGTTATCATCTTTAATCATTTCCAATTCCGATTGTTATTGTTACTTTTATTAAACTTGAAAAGTTACCAAAGGGAAATAAAAACTTAGGAAGAAAAAAGTTTCATTAAGAATCAGTTGATTCCAATTCCAATTCAAATTCTGATATTTTCTCTATTCCAATGCTTTTATATTGATACAATTTTCATGATCATTTCAGCATGAATTTCATAGCTCAAAATATTGATTCAAATTCTGTTAATTCAATTATCAACTTACCCAGTTGATTTAATCGTTAACCTCAAGCTCTAATTAATTAATCAAATTAAAAGATGAATTTTAATCTAATTATTTTTGGGTTAATCTAAAATTCTTGGTTCAGATTAATTATCATTTATTGGGAAATAAATGATAATCTAACAATCACTTCACAGATTAAGATTAATTATCAATATTTTACCTTAATCATCATTAATCAACGTCATCTTTTTAACGATAATAATAGTAGTTGATGGTGATAATTAATGATTGTGATACAATGTTAATATTTGCAGGATTTTCAATACTGAGACTACAATTAAAGATTCTCAACAACAATCAAGTTAATCATATTCCAACGATTAAAACTAATCTAATACAGGGAAAAACTTTATGAATAAATTATCATTTTGATGATGTAAATTAATGAGTATCAATTGTAACAATTAATGAATGATTTGCCTCAAGGTTAACGCATTTAATTGTATACTAACAATTTCACTTTTACTCTTGATCAATTTTATCGATCGATAACTAGTACAGTTGATTAACTAATTGTTGTATTTTTACCAACGATCAGAAGCAGTGAGAACTAAGAATGATGGAAAAGTAATAGAAGATGAGAAAAGGTCTCGATCTAATACAAAACGAAAAGGAAAAATTGAGAAATCGAACTTTTCAATTGGAAATTGAAATCGAACTCATCAACAAAGAGGAAAATGTTCTTCTCAGAATTTTTCAATATCATCATGAAAAAAATGCTCTTGAACGAAAAGTATCATGAAAATAACACTTACAGAGACATAATCGTTTACTACATGGGGAAAAAGGGTGAAAAAGCTATTCAGTGAATAGAATCAACTATTTCAATGAAACAATTTATGAATCATTTCTCATTTTCAGTTGGCTGATTTCAAATGCATCTGATGGAACCAACATATTTTTTACCGTTATTATCATTTGCTATACAACCACCATGATGATAATACCCAAATCTATCTCGATGAATACATGAGAATTCATTGTCATGAGTGAGATGAGAGAAAGTTTTGAAAAAAAGTAGAGAACAAGCAAAAAAAGAAGCAAAGAAAAAACTTGAAGTACTTTCTGTAAACTGAACCATCATCATTATCATTGAGTTTCTAATATACGATCGGTATCATGAGTTGATAATTTCATGATAAATACCAAATGATCACAAGAAGTTTACTGATAATATTTGAAAAAGAAAAATTCTTGTTCTTTAAACGATTTTCAATCTATTTTTATTTCAAATTTTCTCATTTTCCTTCGAACTCGAGTAACTCGAGTTCTAACCCTAGTCTGGTCTAAATGTTCAAAATCGTAAATATCGAGCTAAGTGATTCTAATAATAATAATTATTATTGGAAATCTAGGATATAATTAATGGATAATTTCAATTAAAACCAGACTGAATTTACTATTCACATAATTGCCAATCATTTTAATTGTTACCATTATCCTTCATTATCACATTAGAAGCATAATTAGTTTCTGACATTGATGTTAATTTAGTTAATTGCCTCCTCGATAACTTTAATCATTAGCCTGTCTCACTAAGCCTATTTTCATTAATTAATATACTGATTTAGTTAATTTCAAATCAACTCATTACAAACTAAATGAAAAAAACATCAATCGATTTTTACATTTTCAATACAATCGATCTAAAAAAAAGATCTCAATTGATCAATTAACAGTTTTGATAAGATAAACAATCAATCAATACAATTGTAATAATAAATCAGTTAATCATATTAATAATAATAATCAGGATGCGAAAAAAATTGATTGTTTGTATTAAATATCCTCTGGGAATTGTAAGTAATCAAAGCGGAAAAACTTAATCATCTCAATTGATTATCATGATAACGACTCATTGAATATTATCTCATTCATGATAAATGCTCAATTAATTGATTAACCTGATTAACGTGATTAAATTGTAATTTAATTTAATATCAATTATTTGGTTGGACACGAAGATGAAATAATCTTAAATCATCTTTCATTTCAACCAAATTAATGATATTATCTGAAAAGTATTACTTAATTACCATGGAAAAAAAAAGTTCTGACATTTTCCATGATGAATTGAGATATTAAAGATTTTTTTCTATTACCAGACTAATCAATCATAATGATGATCATCATTAGTGTGTAGGCATCAGTCAATCCAGTGATTAAAGTTTAATTGTTTACTTGCTGTTGAGATGATTGTCAT